ATCAAAAACGAATTTCCCGATAAAAAGGAAATAAAACAGTTTCCGCGGACCTTAATGAAATTTACTTTCGTCCATTTAAGTAATTCGTCAATATAGAATAGATCTACGCTATTATTCCGGGCGATTTGCTCGCAGCGAGCACCGCGGGGCTCCGGTCTTGGAGTTCTAATGGCCTCTATTCACAGTCGAGTGTCATTCAAGAAAAATGTTGCATTGTTACGGGGGGTGTGATGACGCCTAAATCTTTACAATACAATACCGCGGCGCGAGAGTGTCACTTAAAAAGTGACAAGCTTCATTTGAATTTATGAACTAAAAAATGCCGTTCACTCTGAAGTGGGTGTGGTAATAGGACGATATCTCATGACCCTAGATGTACACATTTAGCCCCTAAGGGGGTGATGTAAACACGTGTGTTTGTACCCATCAAATAGACGAATTTTTAATATCGTTAAATTGATGTCGTAGACCCCTCAGCATTGTAAATCCATCTAAATATCGTATGTTGTATGCTTCTAACATACGCATAAATTTACAAAGACCTCTGAAATCGGTAAATTTATATATTTAGTTTTACCATTACAATATTTTTCATATAAGTGTATTGAGGAATAATTTTCATTATTGACATATTTATAAGGATTTCTTAATAACATAATTAAATAATATAATAATTCCTTAATAATAATAAATATAAAATAAGTGGCGGCGAGATTCTTGCCAAATCTTCTCGTTCGTTCTACGCACTTAATTTGGACTGGTAGTAAATGTAAACTTGGAGTTTTTATTTTTTAACTGTATTGACATTCATAAGCGTACCTACATGAATAAATGAATTTTTTATTTGATTTAAAATATAAAAACCTGCCCTGAACTGGAGTTTACTCGTAGTTTGATGTATAGTGACGCATAACATAAATATTCAGTAAGAAAGAGTTAAAAAGAAATACAAGGCCATAATTTAATTTAGCGCTTAAATTTATGAGCAAAATCGGGCATCCGCTCACTAAAAGCAAACAGAACGGCCTCACCAAAAACGTAGGCAGCGAAAGTTTTTTTAACTTAGTTAACGTAAAATTTATTTTAAATGCGTCTTTAGACTAATTTATTTCATTCACGTTTACCTATTTAACCGAAGTTAAAATTCCTTAATAGAAGTTCTTCAGACGGGCGAATTGAATTACTTGCCTAAGCGAAGCCTCTATATTATAAAATTCTAACTTCGTATATTTTTATTTGCTGTTCGAAAAACCTACAATACAGAAAAAAAGAATCTTATCATACATTTATTTATTTATTAGATTCACCAACATTCGTACAACTAAATACTTAATCTAAGATACAAGTGTAGGGGGACGCAATAGGTTGCGAAGAACAATTATAGGCGAATACAGCAAGCAAAAACAAATATCATAAGAGAAAACAGCACACATTGTAAGATTTAACATTAAAATCAAGAATTTTACATCAAAATATGAAAAAAAAGAAAAATAATATACAAAACGAAAGATAAAATTTATTAATAAGTAATCGACTGAGTTTGTTGGGTGAGTCATTGTAAATATTGACTAGGCTGATTATTGATTGACACTGAATCTGTTTAGAGTATGACTGAGTCTAACAACTGGGGAGTTTGAGCCATTTGCAGTCTTTTGAAAAGGCACAGATAATTTATAAATTGAATAAAATATTTATTCAAATTAAAAATCTTTAGATTGAAACAATTTGACGTCACAGTCCGGACTTGAACCGACATCCGCAATAATCCAAGCTGCTGCCCTAACCGAAATACCATGTCGTCGATTGTTTTCAATCTGAATAGAATTTTAATTTATATAACGCCATTATATGCAATTAGAAAATAAAATAATTTAAAAATATTGAAGTTTTCTCGTGTTTATTTCACAAAATAAGCAGACGTAAAAAAGTAGATACGAAAATATATACCTACCATTAGGGTTATAAAAAAATCGACCCAGACCAAAGTTATTCTATTTAATTTTTGTAATAAAATCAAATATAATCCCTATGTTTTAAGCTAATTTTCAAATCGATGTCAGTAAATTTCATGGAAAGCTGGGATTCTCTTAACACGAATGAATATAACACGAAACAATTTCAGATTCGAAATTTTATTTTTAGCGTCCAGTTCGTTTAAGCATTCTGAGAGGAAATGAATAAAAAAGTTTAATAAAAAGCGTCATCCGGCGTTCCGGGGCTCTCAAGCGTTGACTCAGAATTCAAATTAACCACTTCATATTCTCTCTAAAACATTTAATACGAGAACAGTTTAGCATATGTGTACTTTGCCAGTAAGTACAGTGGAGTCTAATTATATAAGACCTGCGCGAGGACGAACTTACCTTAATTCCGGAATCCTTTAGGTGAATAGACCGGTACAGTTGCAGAATGTTGAGTTGGCGTTATAAATAAAAATTAGATTATCATTCTACAAAGAAATCGTAAATTTTAAACTTCCATTCAAGTCACCAACATTCGAAAACCAAACAATGAGGTAATTTCTGCAAATACTATAAAGTTTAGATATAATGATATAGATGCGCATTCCTTATTTCTGATTCATATATTAAAACATAATACCGTCATTAAATTATTTCAGTAAAAACGAATTTGAAAATTTCCCATTTTATTTTCCTTCATATTTAACATCATTTTCTTTTTTATTAGGTCACTCTGGATCTCGAGCTGCATTGGAGTAATGGTGTGAAGATCCGACTAAAGTGAAGTAATTGGATCACCGATTCTTGTATAATTTTTGACACGTGCTGTCCACAGAGAACTGCATACATCTATCAACTTAATAAGCTATATTAGTAGAAGTACCCTCTTATTTATATGAGATTCAAGTCCCATTAGAGAGAAATAATAAGGGATAATAGCAAAGATAAAAAAATACCGCTTTCAAAGAAAACCGCAATCTTCTCGTTTCGTCTTGTTTCGCGAAATAATTAAACGTAGGTACCACAAAGTAAGTTCATATACCGCGATTTTTTTTAAATATGTTATGTTTTTAAATATACATAATACTACAATTTTGAGACCTACTATATGGGCAACAATTAAATAGTTATAACCAATATATCGTTTTCTAAAAACAAAGATTTTGTGTTATGTTTTTGTGTAGAGGTAAATATTTTCCTTTGTGCATAGAATCTTGAAATACCTATTTCCCTCACACAGTTACTAAAGAGTACAGACTGGACTTGCATAAAGGTTGTTTTAAAGAAAACGCTAGCATTTCACCCCCCGGGGACGTACTGAGACAATTCCCTTTGGAAATTGTTAACGAACGAAATCATTAGCACTTCTGCGCTAAAAATTGTCTTTAGTTACATTTTAATTGAGCATACGGCTATAAAAGCTAACTTTCAAGCGACTTTAACTTTTAAATTAACTTTATACTTCTAACGTCCCACTGTTGGACACAAGTAAGAGGAAGATCTGAGACCCACCACGTCGCTTTAATATGGGTAATTAAGTCTACCACCAGAAAATAGACCAACACCAACTTCCAACCCCCAGGCTGGTAGTTACGAGAAATTACCTAACAATTATTTAAGAACTGTTAGAAAATTTCTCGAAAAATAAAGGACTGTAACAGTTTACTGGGATTCGAACCTTATACCTCGTTACGTCCGACGTGTATATAACCTACTAGAACAATGCCTATATACTTTTATATCCCTCTTTCAACTATTACAGTTGATTTCTGTACCAACTGCAATAAACGTTGCAACTTGCAGTTTCTACCCGCGGGCATTGTCATTATATAACAAATGTTAGCTTGTTAAAACCGTATTGTTGAAGCGGTTTTATGGAGTTTTTACTGCTGATTCGATAGTTAATGTTTACAAATAAATACAGTGTACTCAACACAAAACGCTAGATATCCGAATAGGACTATCGATTCGGATAACCGCAAATTCCGATAATCGGACATAAATTGGTAATATAAATAAACTTTATTCTGACACAATATAGCCAAACTTTATCGTGATTAACAAACGCAGTCTTATTAAGAAAAACAATATTACTTATAAACAAAAAAATAATAAATATTAAGCTCAAAAATCGATTCGGATAATTCGGATTCGGTTAATTCGTGGTGAACTGAAAAATTACAAAATATTAATATTTTCACAATATTACAAGTTTAGCAAACTATACGAGCATATACTACCTATTAACCTAATTTGTTAAATATACAACTGGTAGTCTCATTATTAATAGAAAAGTAAGTCTGTAGAGGTAGATTGACTAAACTATTGACTTTTTATTATATGTCCACCGTTTTATTGATCCTGCCATTAGTCTTACATAATAACAGCAATATAACATAATTTAATCTATATTATGATTTTAATTTAATTAAAAAATATCAATTTTTAAAAATAAATTATATCTGCAGTCTGTCTTCTAGCGCTTCGTTGTCAATTCACGACTTGACAGACCGTATGCGCAGATTAAACTTAAAAAATTTCCAAACCAAAACTATCTAAAACAATGTGGACATTTTCTCGTTTATTATGAAAATGTAATAAATTCAGGCATTATTTATTGCATACAATTTTATATACCCGTACTATCTAGTTAAAATTCTTTTTCTTATTAGAATCCTAAACATTGTACTTAAAGTATGACTTGTACACTTGATAAGTGTATTTTCTTTACCTGCAAAGAGTGTAGTTAAATGGTTTCATTCAAGATCAAATTATAAAACTCCACTACTTAGCTGCGCGCATACAAGTGACACATTCAACGAAGACGCTAAAAGAAGCCGAGGTGCGTCTGAAATTATGATAACAATCTTGCACAACAAATAACACTGGTGCGTTTAAACAGTAATACATGGTAATTTAAAACGAGTTACATTAGCATAATAATTATTGTCACAATCTCAAGTGAAACCGGATCGTCACTCGACACAACTCAGTGATCGTCAATTATTTTGTTCAAAGTTTATTAGCCTGGCATTAGAAATGGAAGGCGGCTACGACGAAATTATATCGGATAATCCATTTTTCGTGGCTTTCAAAAGTGAATACATGGAAATTTTTCAACACTGTATTGCACAATCTTGGATAGTGTGTGTGCCTCGCGTGGGAAGTTTGAATACGCGTGTTTTTGCCATAGAAGATTTCTGTGCCCATGTATTAGTGCCTAGTGATGAGTTACCCGAAACGCATTATAGTACTCTTACCGAAAAACAAGTGACAGTCGCAAATAAAGTCATCTCCCTTGAAGTTACCAAAGGTCTACCTCTGCAAAGCCATATCTTATTTGAAGAAACTTTTTACACAGAGGATTTCATGAAGTACAAGGTATGGTGCATCGAAAGCCCCCTAGAACCGACCTCTAATGTTGGAGGAAATGATGTTACTAAGGAGAGTCTTTGTTCCATTAACGACTGTATCGATTTACTTTGGACACAGGCTGCTGGACGACAAGTCTTAGATCAAATTGATTTAACAGTCCAATTGTTTATAAAGAAAAATCCTGTATTGCCTTATGCTGTTGGGAGCCTAAAAGTTACTATTAGTGAGCTCTACACTCATTGCCTTCAAGTTGCCTTACAAAACAAACGCTTAAGAGATAAGTCTAAAGCGTCAAAACATATTTTAGAAAACATTAAATTGGCTGTTGAATGCTACATGCAGCAGCTCATATTTGATTATATCTTTAAACCTATTTGTACTAGTTGTTCATACGAAGATTCACACCTCAATAAAAAGATAAGAAACATGTGTGACATCCAACTAAGAGATCTTGACATAAAAAAGGAGTTGTACCATGCAGTGCCTAAAGCAAAACAAATACTTTCTAAAATTGATTCATACAATACTGTATTAGAGAAAGTTTTATGTTTAAAGCAGGCATTGAACGCAATTAATGAAAATAGCAATAGTAGTAATGCAATGTTATTAACTGCAGATGATTTATTACCTGTGTTTGTGTTTCTGTTAATAAAGTCTGGTCTGCCTAATTGGTACAGTCAGCTCACTTATATGAAAGAATTTCAATTTAGCGGTATTGGAAGAGGAGATGGTGATGAGAGTATATTCCTTATTACAACTTTAGAAGCTGTTATTGAGCATATACAGTCTGGTGCTTTAGCGGGACCACCTGACCCGGAATCCTATTATTATGATAGCAATAACTCTGATGATAGCATCAGTTCTTGTAATCAAAGAAGAAATAGTACAACAGAATCAATTTCCACTACAGAAACAACAGGACGAGAGGAAACATTAGATTATGTATTTGACTTGATCAAAGCAAATCATACAGAACAAGTTCAGGCGCTGTTAGAAAGAAACAGAAAGCACTTAAACAATATGCAAGACAATGAAAAGAGTGCTATAAAACTATCATTAGATGAAATGGATAATGATGATGATGACAGTGATGTCGAGATTTATCAGAAACTCTGTCATCCTCTGTGTAACTGTAAAAAATGTTGCCAAAAGCTATCAAAAAACCTATTGAAAACATCACCTACAATTAGTTCCAGGGACAGCCATGGCCTGACACCTTTACATGTCGCCTCAATCTATGGTAAAGCTGCTATTGTAGAGATTCTGCTTGACATGGGAGCTGATGTGAATGCCACTGACCTAAATGAATGTTCTCCATTGCACTATTCTGCATCAAGAGGTCATCAAAATGCTCTGTTGCTACTGTTGCACTCTGGGGCAGATATAAATAAGGCCAATATTGATAAGAATGCTCCGTTACATATGGCAGTAAATAATGGACATTTGAACTGCGTTAAGGCACTTATCTACTTTGCCGAACACGGCAGAAAACAAATTATCGTAAATTGTTGCAATGGCAACGGAAACACTCCATTACATTTGGCTTCCAAATGGGGGTATGAAGGCATTGCCAAACTATTGATAGAAAATGGTGCAGAACCATCATTGCAAAATCGCAATGGGAAATCTGCATTTGACATAGCTCATAATTACAAAATCTTACAGGTACTTAAGTCTAGTACCCCAAGTTTGTATGAATATATCCATATTACTAGTGCTGACATCAAAAAGTTGAATTTAAAGAATGACAACCCTATAACTCAAAAGTTGCAGAGCTTAAAAATAAGAAATGACCGCAACAAAGCATCTAAAACTGTTGAAAATCTTAAAAGAATCGAGAGAATTTTGCAAGCTATATCATATGGTGATATCAAGTTAGCCTGTTTCTACATGAATATTAATTATGACAATTACACAGATGCTAAATGTGACCTAAAGGATCCACTTTGTCATCCACTATGCGAGTGTAATAACTGCAAGACAGTTACTGTGTCAACTATATCAGACTTTGATGTAAACTTTTGTGATTCAAACGGTTACACACCACTACATCATGCTGCTAGGTACGGGCTGGATGAACTATGCAAAATCCTAATTTTAAATAGAGCAAACATCAATTTATCAAACAGAAAAGGGCAAACTGCCTTACATTTAGCAGCCCTACACAATAAGTCTACAACTTTGCGACATCTTTTAGATTGTGGTGCAAATATTAATGCTATAGATTTTTCTGGTAATACCCCGCTTCATGACGCTTGTGAAGTCGGTAATATTGGAGCCACAAAGGTATTACTAGGTTATGACCCTGATCTGAACATGCTGAATGCCTCCGATAAAACACCTCTAGATGTTGCTAAGGGTAAAGTGCATTTAACAATCATAGATTTGATAGAAAAATATTCGAATAAGGCTTCCATTTATAAATGATTTTTATCACTATGAGGCAGTGTTAAAAATCTATATCGTGGAAAATGTATGACATTTTATAAAAGTGTTTATTTATACTGATAATAAAAATAGCACTTTAAAACTAAATTTAAGATAAAGGCTCAATATTAAAATTGAATCCAATACATTCCTCATGACTAGTCTATCTAAAAATAACAGGCGTTTGTACCAATAAGAATTTTATAACGTAATTTATATTCAATTAATAAATATATAATATAGAAATATTGTGTGGAGGGTGTTATATTTTCACAAAAAAAGTTTTGTTTATGTTACTTCTAATGTATTTGCACAAACTTAATTCTTGTTTTCAACACTGTGCCATACTTTAGCAGGAAAATTGTTCATCTATAAGACTGATTTTGATTTAATGATACAAATTTGGTTGCACCTCAATATTTTGTTACTTATTGAAAATAAATATTTTATAATTATGTCGACTTTTATTTTCTCACGACATTGGTAGGATTCATTCTGAATGGGAAAGTTATCAAATTAAGAAGAAGAATATATAAATAAAACACTTTATAAAAGCTTTGCAGCAGCCGAAACGTAGGGCCGAAGTTAAAAATCATTGTCAAATAAGTTTAACTAATATATTGCGTTTTAAACCGATAAAATGTTTTATTTAAATGTGCACTACTCGCGTAAACCATAGACAGTATTTAAGAAGAATATAGTTAATTGAAATGTCCTTTTATCATTTAGAAATAAAAACGACAATCTTTGATAGTTTATTTTATTTTAGTAACAGGTATAAAAGCGCAATAGGCCATTCGTAAATTAAATCATTATAGTATTTAGATACTAATATTTTACATTTTTGTAAATTGCATATATTTTTGTGAACTTATTTGTTGCAAAAAATTTTATATTATATTAAAAACTGTTTCAATACTTATAAGTATCAATTTAATTTATTTTAAAATATATTAAAACATCTGCCTATAACTATATATGACATCCAATCCCATCTTTATATCCATGCTTTCATTTAGTCACTTAAAATGGGAAATCCATATTTCACATCATTCATTTTTATTTTCACCAAACAATTTTGTGTACTTCATCACTTACGCTTACTTGATTTTATATTACAATCAATTTAACAACTAAATAAGGAACAATATTTATAAATTAAATACAAAAGTTGTACGAAGTATATTTACAATCAAATAGCAAAAAAAAATTAAAATCTATTTAAAATTTAATACTTCTCACTTACAAAAACAAATCGTAATGATGCACTCCTATAGATAGTAAGATACTAAGACATACAAAAAAGTAATAAGTTAAATACGACACTTTAGTACATAAAATGAAATACAAATTTGACTAGCCTAACTACACTGGTATTAAAATAAGAAAATAAATAATTAACGCGAAGAGTCTTCTCCCTTTTCAAAAATGAAACCATTTCTCTTATAATTAACGCGAAGTTTAAATTGAGATAAAGTTGTGGTTTAATGACCGTCATTTTTTTATAACAATAATTATATTGAAGTTTTGCTTATCAAGTGACGAATGTTCTGCATTGTACACAAATATAAATTGATACTTTACAATTGTATTATTTGGTCCCTTATCAGTATCACAATTATGAGTTTACTAAACTATTTGTGCAGTGCAGTAACCATTATCAATCATACTGTACTCTGCCCAATGTAATTTCGACTTTAACACGTACGTCTTAAGGTGTAAATTGGTTTTTAATGATTATAGAATCATATTTAATGTGAATGAAGAATTTTAAATATTCAAGCACTCGCTTCTACGAATGTTTATATTACGTCATATGTTAGTAGACTTACTAAAATCCAAATTCTTTTCTTCATAGTTACATTACAACTATAGTGAATTTAAGTAAAATACTTTAACGATTTAAAACACAAAATATATTATATATAGTATAACTTATTTTTTTTAGCTACGGCCTGACGTTCGGATGCTTTTGGCCGTAGTTAAAATAAATGAAAAATACACTTCGAAAACCGTTAATAGTGTTTTATTTAAATGTGTATAGAAGTAGCCTATAAAGTACAGACTTGACAATGGTAAACTCATAATCCAGCTATTTAAATCTCATAGAAAATACTATCAAAAGTCCATTAAACCTAAATAAATTTCGTCTTTTACGCCTAAACATAATTGTGCATTTAACATTACATATTGTAATGAAATCGATAAATTTTAATAATTTAAAGTATCTTTATTTACACGCGAATATTCTTCTAATTACAAAACGCAATTTTAACAATTAATTTATCAATACTTATCTTTTCTCAATAAGATCCAGTTTCATAAATGATGTTACGATGATTAAGAAAGTAAGCAAGTGTCTTTTTTGGTAACCATCGCATTAACAGTCTACAAGATTTTATGATTCCACAGCTGGGAAACACACAATTCAACTCAAACTATAACTCATTGTAGACCTGTGGCCTTTATTGGATATACTTGACTTTAAAGATGGTTCATATCTTGAAGTGTATTCCAGAATTTTTTTTCCAGAATTCTCAATCACGCCCCATCCCTTTTGAGCACAAATTGCTACCCCTGAACCAACAACCACACAACATTACTTCACTGTGGCGGCAAACTCCACACAGGCATATCTTGTTTCTTCTCTCGCTTCTTGTAATAATGCCTATCTCTCATTCTAATATCGTCTTGCCTCGTTCTATCTGCATCTGTTCTCCAATCCATGCGTTTTTTTGGCGAATCTTTCCTCAATCGCCTTTCAGGGTCATGTTCGTCGTAGTACACTTTGCTCTTGACGAAAAGTTCGTTTTTGTCATAGTCATATAATGAGGGTAGTTCGATTTCGTAGTCGTCGTCGCTTAGTTCTGTGACGTCACTCCTATTAAATGTGAAGGTGTGTGGAAAGTAGCCTTGCATGATGTCTTCGTTTCTATACTGCTGCATTTGAAGCCAAACATGTGGTAATAAGAAGGGAAATCTTCGAAGCCAGTAGGTAATGAAGCCATCTGGAACTTTCCCTAGACTGTTTCGGACGTCCGGTTCCAGTTCCCGATAGTGATGTTTCTGTAAAAAGATTTGTATACTGTACAAACAATATAGGGGCTTATTCACAATACAATTCTTAGTATTTAAAACGCAAACAATTAAAAACTACAGTTATAAAAGCGAATTCATTATAGCCTCTATAATAAGCATTTTTAAAACCAGCAGAAGAACTACAGAAGGAACTTCTGAAAAGCACATTTTTTTAATGCTAATTGACTTTCTTTACAGCTAATATCGAAACTAAAATAATCGAATTCTTCGACATCCATGTTTAGCTAAATTTTTTTATTATATAAAATAATGGTTGCCATGGATACTGATTGTTTTAACAAGCGTTCCTACCTTATTCCTAATAGCTCTAAGCAGATGTGCGACACGATCACCGCGATATGTCCGTCTCGCTCTTAGGTCATTCGCCACGACGGCACACACGTGTGCGCGCCAATCCCCTCTTATAACTCTTTTGCAGGACTGCTCTAGAGCATGGTCTGTGCCCGCGTTGCAACTCTCTACGTGATCACTAACGTCCTAAACACATTATAAATTAATCATTAAAAATTAAATGAAACACTATAAAGGGCCCTTCGAAAAGCTCAAAACCTCAGGTAAATACAACCATATTTACCTTGTATTATTACCTATTACTATATTTATATTGTATTAAATATAGCAAGACAAAATATTACTATTAAGAAGGATCATATTATTAGGACTATAAATTGTTGTAGAAAATCATACTAGACCAGTTTGGCAAATTTTAATGTCTCAATACAATATTAAACAACTTACCTGTAAGAAGTTAAGTATGCTCTGTTTACCCCAAAATATGGGATATTTAAGTACAGTCTCACAGGGCGGCCGCGCATTTGCTTTTGCTGATATCAGCGATCTTATCAGGATTTTCGTTAATAGAACCTCTTCGTCTGGTAAAATTTTACTGAAAACATAATTTGCGCTTCGTATCAACATTCCAATGAGAATTTTAAAAGTATTAAAATGATACAGATCAGGACAATTGACTACCAGTTCTTAAATCAAGGACTTAGAATAAGCGAGAAGAAATGGCAATAAACTCGCCGCCAATCATTATCAACAATCACTTTATAAAAAAATCAAGTAGTTACAAACGTATATAGCAGAAGCGACATAGTTGGCTAAGTTGAGGTAGCGGTTTCGCATCCTGCCTTTGAAAATATGATTAACAACTTTTTACCAACCCGAAGATTTTAGAAAGATTTATCTATTACAAAAGGAATTGCCTCATAGTATTTTTTAGAAATAACTTTGACTCACTCTAAATGCTCCAGGTTATAATCTCCAGTAAGTATATTCGCTTGTCGCCTCAAAACGTCACCAAAAGGGTGCTGTCCCTTCGACAGGACGTAATAGAACACACAGCCCAAAGAGAACATATCTACTGATGTCGTCTGTAAATGTATAAAAATTCAAAATTATAAACCACATTTACCTAATCGCTTTAACCTAAGGGGGAATGAAGTCATGCGCAAAATGGATACCTGATTTTTGCGTAATATTAGCACCTAACTTACACTTACATTTAAAAAAAAAACAAAAGGTTTAAAATGCTTATTTACTTAGTTTCAAAACACCATTAACGGAGTTAAGTATTGTCTGGCCTTGTCTAGTAGATACTAGATTTTTAAGTCTAATCAATAAATTATTGTATAAAAGTATTATCATACCGTTCTCTCTCCATTAATCATTTCTGGTGCTATCCAACCATCAGTGCCGGTCACCCCGGAGCGCCTTGAAAAGCTCACTCGCCCAATATTGAGCTTCTTCGACAGACCAAAGTCCGATATCATGGCGCGCACTTCGCCAGAACCGGATGGCATTGAAAGCAACACGTTGTGGGGTTTTATGTCTCTGTGGACTAGAAATGAAGGAAATGTGACAAGCTGACATTTGAAAACTTGAATATTTGTCACATGATGCAAGCCTTGAACCGGTATCCTCAGCGTTTGAAATTGCAATTCGCGAGAGGTGGATGTATCAATTGAAACAAAGGTTGAAAAAAATCGACGATGACGTGTAGACGACAATATGGACACGGTAGCTCAATTAAAAAAAATTTACGCTTCTGACTAGAAATCCCTATTGGATTTTTTTTATACAATAGATAGTGAGAGATCTTGTGTGACTCAATAAGTTGACACGGTAGCTCAATTGGCTAGAGCAACAGGACGGAAGCTGTGGATGCCGGTACAAGTACTGCCCGTGTTGTAGTTTTTTTTTTCAATTTATCATCGATCTTAAGCAAATTTTAATTGTACAAAATTGTACTTGTCTATATCGGAAGAACTGATTTCCTACACAGACAGACACAGATTTGTGTCTATTTTGACTATCATGTTCGATAAATCAGTTCTGGATTAGAATCACGGAACCTCGTGATATGCAGTGGAGTTCACTTACCACGAGATCAACGAGGCAACTTTTCAAAAACAAAGTAAAATAAAAAGGTAAAGCTACCAACCTATATCCATAGAGTGTAAATGAGATAGACCCAACGCCGCCTGCCTCAGAACCTCAACAGCGTCAATACTGCACTCAAAGTTGAGTTTCTTCTCTACGTAATCCTGCAACGTAGCTGAGCATAGCTCTAAAGCTATGTATCTAAAATAATGGTTGATTATTAAAATATACATGATACATGGAAAATCAGTCTAGTTTAATCGCGTTTCGGTTTCAGTCTGTGGATTTAGGAATATCTAAAGTCAAAAAAGGTCGACAGCGCGTCTGTTAAGATGTTATATGGCTGAGATATTTCACCTACGATTAAGTGAACTTCATACTTGTCTAAATACTGTCTATAGTTTACGCGAGTAGTACACATTTAAATAAAACACTTTACGGTTTAAAACGCGATATATTAGTTAAACTTATTTGAAAATGATTTTTAACTTCGGCCCGACGTTTCGGATGTTTGCAGCAGCCGTGACACGGGGAGACTGAAGACTTTCAAATAAGTTTAACTAATAATCGTTTTAAACCGTTAAAGTGTTTTATTTAAATTCATACTTGTCTGTTTTCTCAATCATAAATAAAATAAAGTTCAAAACACGAAACTATTTCTTTTAATTTTAAAATAGATACCTAAACTGTTTATCCCTTTCAGTACAATAGTACCGTACGACATGCGCGTGCGCATCCGACTCCCGTAAAAGTGCCACCTCGCGGTCAGCGAACGTAAAGCACTCTGGAAGTAGACGCTTAACGGCCACTGCTCGTTTATCGAAGGTGCCTCTGAAAATTTACATATTATTTATAAGTTAGTATCTCATCATTTAAATAAAGAAATGATAGTTAATAGTTCTAAGCCGTCAACCTCTCTCAACATTTATTTTAAGGTAATAAATGGAGGTACTGTCTCAAGAAAGATGCAGTCTTAATCACTAGGTTCAGAGTTCATCAGAGATCAATGATTTCAAGTAAAATGCTGCAACCTTATAATGGATTACTGTCTGTAGTTTTCGCAAGTAGTACACGTTTAAATACACTTTAACGGTTTAAAACGCGAAACATATTAGTTCAACCACTGACGCCGTGTGCTGCAAAGCATTAAGATAAGTTTCATTAATATTAATAAGTGTTTGATTTGAGTGTATTATTGGATATTTTAATAATAATATGGTGGTGGTGAAGTTTTGTCTGTATTGATAATCCAACTTACCTGTACACAAAGGTCCCTTCACAGCCCTTCCCTAAAATCTGATCAGTGAAAAAGCTTATTTTGCCAATCTGCACCAGCCCATCACCAAGTTCCACCAACTGGCCAGTAACTTCTCCTTGTGACGACGTCGACGCGTTGGAACTACGGGACCCGCCCTGAGAAAGCTGTTGGAACTCACGCGCCTGAAAGAATAAATTCAAATTGAAACAATTTATTCCACACCGAAGGTTATTATAACAATACAGAAATTATACAATTATATAAATAAAAATAATACATGAATGGCTTACAATTATATTACATACATTAACTTTGCTGTTGAGGGACAACACTCAGCTATTGCTGCAACAACGGATGTGTTGCAGCGCCGATTTTCAGTGATGCCCCATGGATCACATTTAGAGTGAGAGCCAGAAATAATAAGGAAGCTTATAAGAAGGAAACAAAACTATCAATTAAAAAAAAAAATGTCTCTACAATAAAATAAGAGGTAAATCTTTTTAAATAAAACACTTTAACGGTTTAAAACGCGATATGTTAGTTAAACTTATTTGAAAATTATTTTTAACTTCGGCCCGACGTTTCGGATGCTTTGCAGCAGCCGTGGTCACGGGGAGACAATAATATATCGCGTTTTAAACCGTTAAAGTGTTTTATTTAAATGTGTACTACTCGCGTAAACTATAGACAGTATTTAAGAGGTAAATCTGTTATAATAGATATAAATAAATTTAGTAAACTTTTTTAAAATGACGTTATTGTCTATTTTGTTATAAAAATTATTGTTTTATTCAGCCTAAGACTGTGTCCAACCGAAAACTTTCAAACAGAAATTAAAAATTGCTTAAAACAATAATACATTGGAAAAGCCTATATGAATAGACTAGGCTTTTTTGAAGATTTAATTTTTCCGATGACGGGCTGCAACTTTGCCAAGCTGTTTGCTTGCAACTGAGATGCTGTACATACCTTACTTGGTAATCAGCTCAGTAGTTCTTTTTTAAATAAAAATTAGATTTTTAAATATTTTACGTTTTTTTGCATATAGGTAATTGCATAACTAATTTTCAAGTAAATTTAATGCCATGATCGTGGTATTTAAACTGAATAAAACCAATACGTTTTCAAACAATAGTTCATTAACCGTTAAAAAACTTAATGAGTCAAACAATTAATTTAAACTGCGTCTGATTTTACAATAAAACACGTCGAGAAAACCGGTTTCGTCCATTTACAATAGTCAAACTCAAAAGCGTGACATTGGACAATGGACCAAAACTTAAGTTACACAACGAGGTCGTTCACCCGCGATTTGTTTAGCACAATTTGCATTGTGCGGTAACAAGAGGCAGATTTAGTAGTTACTAGGATATGGGAGAATCTTCTTTTTTACATAAATCCTCCATAATGGTGTGGGATATAGAGGCGGTAGGAGTATGAACATGAAAATGACTAATGACTTTTGACTACAAATACATAATTGAAGTTAATTTTCGAAAACAAAAGCCCGTTTTATAAAAATGGAATTAGTGTCGTGTTTTAAACTTAACTTTCCATCACATTCTCGAAAGAGCAGTATTTGATGACGCAAACGTGAAATGTGTACAAGGTCCTTCTGGGTTTCACCTAAACAAGCTAATTGTAAGACTTTATTGATCGATTTTATACCGTTACGCAATTTTTACGCTAACATATTAAATGCCACCTGTGTAATCAGATAAGTACACAAAACATGCGCACGCGGCGGATATTGAACTGTTTGAAATGTCTGAGGTAATTGTGTGAGGTTGTTTGTAGGCGATATTTCTAGGAATATACGCATGTATATCTAACATGCTTCAGTTTTCTTACCTGTTTGACAAGAAAACAATAATCCCCATAAAAAGCGCTTTACAACAGTGATGCTATTATCTTTTATTGGTTCTATTTAACTGTATTTAATTAATTCTTTGCTTAATACTTTAACCCGACTAACACTTAATACCATAAATATAAGGTTTAAACATACCTGCAGTCGCAGGTACCAGAACATCGTAACGACCAACCCCATAAGCACGATCAGCGCCATCTTTAAAGCCTTATTCTCCTGCTGATTCAACCAAATGTACACTTGCTTGTACCACAAATCCGGACGTAAGCTGAAATCGGCGAACAAGTCGTCCGTTTGTACCGACACAGATATAGAATTAGATTTTAAGTTTGTCTCATTTTCATCTTTATCTGCCTCCTGGCTCACTTGCCCGTTAATTAATTTCATCGCGTTATTATTCGAATCTTGGACCTTCATATTACTATTTGGTAGCTGGGGCATCCAGGACGTAGTCAGTTCCGGGACCTTATAATGACCTAGCAATAGATACGGAGGTGTAACGTGCAAATTTATATCATTAAGTTGGTAGTGAATGTTTTTGTATTCGTATGTTGGTTTCTCTGTTGTTTCACTTTCGAGCGCTGGTCCTTCGAGCAGGAGCGGTCGAGAATGACCGGTGGATATTGTTACTGTGTTCTTGTCTACCAGAGACGACAACGCATAGAGACCATGGTTGTGTTCGCCTATGTATAGAGTTGGGCTGCAATAAAGAAATTGACATTTAGGATGGGCTAAGATAAATAATGCAATTCTCGTGAGATGCACAAAGCTCTTAATTAATGTTAACAAAAAAAAACTAATTTAGAAGTAAGTATAATGATCTATCACCAACATTTTAATAACAGTCGTCATTTTTAATCCCTAACACTGAAACATATTTTTAATATTGTTGCATAAATTACTGAAATATGTAATTTCAGTAATCCACCTACGTCCAAGGTTGTTCACAACATTAAACTAATAATGTAAAATATAGATAAGTGTCGGCCCTGTTTAAATTGTATAATATCTACTAAAATTTAAATGTTGTATGAAAAAATAAATTCGAAAATAATAGAAAGAAATTACATACTATAACTCAATATTCGAATTCTTGATCCCCTGTCCGTTTCTCAAAGTTGTCGCATCTTCCATAATATGGTCCAATGTGTCATCCCCAATCGAGTTGAAGGGGACAGAAATAAGTCCGTCTCTGTCTAGCAAGTAGGCGGCGACTACTGGGGTCTCGAAATTATGAGACCATACGAGATCACCGGTTTTTCGAGCGAAGGACATTATGCGGCCGTTCGATGTTGATGTGAAGTGGATTATTCCTAGAAAATGTGACGAATACTTATATATGTATATAACTATATTTTTATATATGGATCTACAGCTAACACATAATGGATTGACTATGCTTTAGACAAAGATACATTGTTGCGTTCGTGAATTTTCAGTGGCAACTTGTGCTTAAATAAATAAAATAGGTAAACTTATCTTCAAATTGTTTTAAGTGTATATTTTACTGTAACGGTAATATTATTTGTCTTTCATTAAAATAATAAAAAAAATACTAAGATTCTTCTAATATAATAAGATCTTTGTTTCTTTTACCAAAATATGTTATCCTAAGTCTTTTAAAGCACCTTTTATGTTACAAAGCTCTAAAAACTATACAGTCTCGAAAAAATTCTTGAATCTTACGTTTCATAAATTTAGAAGGTCAGATGAAATGATCAATAAGTTCAATAATTAAAGGGCGGTAGTCCGTTACATATGGTGTAATCGATAACATATAGGAATGTGCATGTTTGCGGCTTTTAGCTCGTATCATATAATTATCCCGCTATGCCTTATCGCAACGGAATGAAACTTGACGCTACAAGTGAAATTCGTTTCGGAAAATAAATGTACGATTACATAGCAGAGATAAACAAGGAAAGCGATAAGAATGTTACTACAATTTGGTATCATTTGAGGCTGCAACATTTTCTTAAACACCCTGTGTCCTAAGCGATTTTATTGAAAGACAATATTATCAATTTAATAACCAAAAAACCCTCTTTTGTTTTTCTACAACTACCCAACTACTCAATACTTATCGTAGTGGGTAGTTTCAGTACTTCGCTCGTGTGTATGATTTTTATGACAGAGATCGACAAACAAGATTTGCTATCGTCTATTTTGGCTTTGGCTATACGGATTTTTGAATTTAAAATATACGATATTTACTAAGTTAATTATTAATTACGATATGACTACTTGTTGGTTTTTTCCCAAATACTATCTGTGTAGTTTACGCGAGTAGTACACATTTAAGAAAAATATTTATAACGGTTTAAAACGCGAAACGCATTAGTTAAACTTATTTACAAATTATTCCCGGTCGCATTAAAGTCTCCCCGTGACTACGGCTGCTGAAAAGTATGCTAGACATCGGGCCGTAATTAACATACTTTTTAAATAAATTAAACTAATATATTTTACGTTTTTAACCGTTAAAAGTGTTTCATTTAAATTATGTCACATCTTTAGTCCCACGTTGGTAAACATTTGTGAGTTACCCGTGTTTTAAACGGTGAAAAAATGTTCTATATAAAGAAAAAAAAAGGAACAAGCGTGTCAAAAATACAGGTCATCTCGTATACACGCTGCAAGTGATCTGCAATCGCCTAGCGATAAACCAGCCGCATGACATAATGTGGATAGCTACGCCGTATCGTTCTGATAACGAGGTGGAGTATTGGTGATATTGGCGTTCAAAACATTCGAGTGATAAATATTAATTGATATTTTTTAGTACACACATGTTCGAAAGCGGTTAATTTCGTTTATCAAGATGGAGCGAAGCAAAAACTGAAGTTTATAACAACAAAAAATGATTAACATATTTGTCATTTGAAAACATTAATATTTTTCACATGTTATTGCACATGAAGGCACTATATAATTTAAAAATCGAAAATAAATTGAAAAAATTTTCGACTCGGGCAGGACTTGAACCGGCATCGTCAGCTTTCCGTGCTGTTGCTGCATTGCACGGAAAGCTGACGATGCCGGTTCAAGTCCTGCCCGAGTCGAAAATTTTTTCAATTTATTTTCGATTTTTAAATTATATTTGTCATTTGTTAGAAAAAAAAACAAGTAGTTATATTTCTAGCACATTGGGTGTTTTGATCCCTAGCTAGAGAAACAAGACGCTTACCAGCATAGGATTCAAGATGAGCGATAATTTTTGAATATTACTATTGATCTTACTTTAGATACCATTTTATCGTAACCGGAAAGAAGAGTTACATCACTACCAAGAAAGATACACTTTTAACTCAATAAAAGGATAAGGTATTGTCTGCAATTTACCCGAGCGGTAAACATTTAAACAAAACACTTTTGGGTTACGTTAACTTATTTACAATTGATTTTAACCACGGAACGACGTTTCGGATGCTTTGCAGTAGCCGTGATTATAAGTAAACGGATATATTTCACGTTTTAAACCGTTAAAAGTGTTTTAATTATAAAAATAATGGTTGGACTAGTACGTTACCACAGAAAGATATCGTCGTTTTGGTTTGATGTGTAATAAGTTGTTAAGAGTAGAGCTTTTAATACAACTAGCCATAACAATAAATGTTATCTAAAATGTATTCTAACTGTTTTTTTTTCACGTCAAAACACTGAATTCTATGAAATTGTATATCTATAGTCTGGTAAAGAACAAGGAATTGTATCCACCGCACAACGTATCTAGTCTGTGATAAACTCACCATAATCGTTAAGCAGCTCCTTCGCCATATCATGGGATGTGTAATCGAAGAAAGTGACATTCCATTTGTGGTTCTCATTCTTGGAATCGTGCATCAGTATATTGTACTCGGTCCTGGCTACATATACACCTCGCTTCTTGTCCAACTGACACGTATTTTCCTCGTCGCTTTTGAAAATCTTTGACTTTTCAAACCCTAAAACCCATCACATATAATAATTGAATGAAAAAATAAATCCTATTTGTTCTTTACGGAGTACGCGGACATATTTCAGTGCCAATTGTTGCTTGCATTGAATATTCAAGTTATAAGGACTCGATTGTTGGTAAAATGACAAAATATATTGATATGAAAGTAATCATCGATTACGATTATAATAGGAATTTGAATAAAAATTCGATTTTAGATAGAAACAATTCTACGACGCAGGCAGGACTTGCACTGGCATTCATAGTTGCTCTAGCGAATTGAGCTGATTGATACATGCACCTCTCGCGTAATGTAATTTCAACCTTAAAACTCACCCATGAAAGTTCAATGTCTTATGCATGCTTAAGAAAATCATACAAACTTCAGTATTCGGTATACTGCCGAATATTCAATTCGTTGTAAGCCGCATTTATCTTTTGAGAATTGTACTTTACATGCATAACGCAATACGATAATCACAATTAGGTAATGACTGTGATGATTTTATTCGCAAAGGTACATAATAAATCTACTAGATTGTTTGACTTTCATACCTGAAATATGCTCCCTAGACCCTGTTAAAGGGTCCAGCATAAACCAAGTGTCACTCTTCTTGCCCGTATACAAGATGCCATCCGTAGATCGGCACGGAGCGTTCGCCACCAGCTCCGGAATGGTGAAGGGCAATTTCTTCAGCATCTGCTTATCACCTCTCGGCCCATACATATAGAGGGAGCCATGGCGTGGATCGGGCAAGAATTGGGGCATCAAATTTGCATGTTGATTGGGTACTTTTACCACGGGTTCTAAAAAATAAGGTCACACTCCATTTTAAATTTTAATTATAAATAAAAAAAGAAGTATTTTCATTAAATAGGTATAACATGTTATACTTTTTTATGTAGTGAATAATAAAAGTTACTGTGTTTTAAATTTTAATTCACATCAATTTTCACATAATAACGTTTCACCGAATTTCAATACTAACAGAGTTTTTATAGACTGTTGGTATTTGTACCTAGAAACCTTTTAATAATTTAATCATTGCAATAAAATTGCTTTAAACTTGACACTGACATTAACCAGTAGATATAAGATAGTAATAATAGTGTAATAAAAATGTAAATATCTATTATCTTCACTTAATGAGATGCAAATCCTTATCAAGTTAAATAACAATGTATTTCAGAATTCCGAACAAATTTCGCTGTTTTTGCCAAAGGTGACCGCAGACACAGTTCTATAATCAAAATTTGAAATACTTATATCACAAATATATATTCTGTAGTAGTACCAATAGAGAGCAATAAAGATGAGAATTAAAATTTTTAACATAAGCTGATAAATTTGATACTAAATCATATCCTTCTCTCTCTCTTTCTATTTTAAATTTGGTTATTTAAGGAAAAATAATTTTTACTGATAATGCAAAGCTGTGTTTATTTGCAGAATCTTAAAATAGCATGTTTGCGAATCAGAGATATCGATTTTATTAATCTTAAAACAATAACGAATAATGAAAGTAACATTTGGAGAACTCTAGAGTCTCTAGACTGTTCCCACGTGACGTATTAAAGGCCTCGCGAAAGCAATGTTACCATACGCCTACGAAAAATCCATATGCGTCGATTAAAAATTCGTATTTATGGAGATAAACAAACCGACTATTTTTATCTGTTTGATTATCCTCTTTACGATTTACATGTTTCCCTTATGTAGAAATTATGCCCAAATATCAAGTTTGTTTGTTTGAACGCACTCATCGCAGGAACTACTGGTTCAAATTGAATAATAATTTCTTTGTGTTGGATAAACCGTTTATGGCAGAACGCTTTAGGCTATAACATTACGCTGAGACCAATGGGAACGAAGAAACATTGAAAAATTATACGTCTTTGGGGGCTTCGTTGCTTGTGCTGCAAAAACGGTTCAGAAAACAAAAATGTGTGAAAGAGTGATGCCTCTTTAAAATAACTCAAAAATGTATGCAATATATGTCCATTTTTTGATATCAAGTTGCAAGCATGACGGAACACCGACGACATCGACGACAGCTGGTCATCTATATGTCAGCAACTATGACAACAGGCTTAGTGCACATTGATAAATATATGATTATCTTATTAGAAAAAACTAGCTTTGATATATTAAATGCAGATATCCAACAATTGCAAATATTAGAGCATGTAAAATTATATAAAATCATTAATTATTGTAGGACTGGTCTTTTTCTTTTCTCAAGAAAACTCTGACTGCTCATTGAGGCTTGCTCTACCAGACCGGAAGGTGGAAATACCCACTAAAAACAACCTTATCTGGCCACCATTACCACATTATATGGTATACCAGGGATCAGACTAAAGGGTGACTGCTAACCTTCACTATTAGTATTTTAATTATTTTCTTTCAAGGGCTTTGAAGCATATAATATATATACATCGTATTAGTTATGATTTGTTATATTGACAACAAAACAAGACAATAATAGACTAACATACCTATACAACCTTAACTCTTATGACTATATCTTAAAATTAACATAATAATATACCTATTGGAGATGGTTTATTTCAATAGACATTATTCTGCATTCAAAGTTAACTAAAAGCGTATTTATCTATATCTTTATATTATTTATGGTTTTTCATAATTAGGACAAATAATTAATCCTGCAAGATTAACAATTTTATCACTGATATCTAAGAAATGATTAGGCACTGTTATCTTTTACTTCTAGAATGATAGTTGGAAACTCTATTAGAAATCAATTCCTGTATTGTTTCATAGACATTTTTAGCTTTGTGAAATTTTGCAATTGTAATTGTAAGAGTAGTTCAATATATTATTTTCAGGCCTTTTGAACTCTTAAACTGACAATAGTGTGCATGAGGTTATCATGACGTTGTTTTATTTTAATAGTGGGATCCCCTAAGAACCAACTAAAAAAAAAATATTTGAGAACATTAAGTATATATATTTCATTGACTTAATAAAGGATGCAAGAAAATATATGTGCTATAAATGCATACCATCTTTCAATTTCCATATTATATTTCCTGAAACTGGCTCCACTGCAACCATTCCTCCTCCTAATGTAGCAAAAAGTAAAGGCCGATCATCTAGTGCCCTTGATAGCTCTGTACTTTCCTAAAGAATAATAACAGTTGAATCCCGGTACTTTTTACACAATATTCGCAATGTTTACACCACGCTGTATGATGTATCTCACCTTATTATCATTATTCACCTCCTGTCCATAACATCCACACGAAAACAATATTAATAATAACAACCTCATGTTTTTAATTTCATTACTTAATTAATACACAATGAAAATACTTCGAGCTAAAAAAATTTAGAGACAAACACATTTTTCTGCAAAGAATAATCGCGAAAAAGTTAAACACGTCTTAAGTTCTTGACCCTTTGTTAATGTTATTTCGCCGTTCGCGGTCTGCTTCATGCTTGTTCTATCACAATGTACAGATGATCTATCAACCATCTATGAATGACATTATAGAAATTATGACAGTGACAATAGGTCAAGTCGCATATTATTTGAAGTAAATTGTCAATGTCAAATCAGTTTTTACCTGTTTTTCCCGTGTCATCGATGATTTTTGTTGGCAGTTTGTGATTGTGCGCTGTCTAGTGATTGTGGATGCGAAAATAGTTGTTCAATTTTTGTTATGAACTACTTAATTGTTTTTAATTTGTGAGATTCGCATACTGTAGTTTCGCAGTTGAATACTAATTAAAAAGCTAGTTGTTACAAGTGTTTTAAATTGCCATTTGAGTGATATGTAGCCTTAAAACGTCGTTCGAACCATGGAGATTTCGGGTTCTGGTAAGAATTCCTTAATATTTAAACATTTAATTAATGAATTAATGAAACGTGAAACACTATATTGACATGTTTAATGTTAATTACAATATCTTAATAACAATGTGTTAATTTAATATTAGAATATCTTGAGAAAGGATTTTAAAACAAAAATTTCGTAAAGAACTTATCATATAAAGTACCGATGTATTTCCTTTGTGCGTAAATACTTTGTCTTTAAATTTGAACGTATTTGAATTCGAATTTCTAGAATTTTGAACGCAAATCAATTAGTGATAATTTTTATTATTACTAACAGCTTCATTATTATTATTAAAATTGTTATTGTAGGGAAATCCCCGAATTCTGCGTTGTCGTTTCGGTACAACGCCAATAATGAAGAGCTTGAAGAATTGTTTCCACCCTGTGATCCTACAACTCCAATTCCTCAAGGTGATCAACCAACAAAAAGTGAAACCGCAAGCCCAAAAAAGACAGAAAAAACATCATCTATTATAGATAAATATTTCAAATCTATACGATCAGAAAAGTCATCTGAAAAAGTTGAAGATGTGAAGCCTGATCCTAAACCTGAAGAAACTAAGAGCCCCACACCTAAGGAAATTAGTTCCTCACCTATGAAAGAATATTTAAATCGCCTCGGTAAGAGAAGTACCTCTGAAGGATCTGACATGAAGGAACCGAATGAAACATGGAAAATCTTTCATGACTTCAAGTTCAAAATTGCACAGGCTGTGGAAGATATGAAAACACGTTCAGTTGAAGGTAATGTTTTGATACAATGGTTTTTACGCATATAAATAATAGCAGACTGCAAAGGTTTATTAATTTTTTTAGAAAGCAAAGAAAAATCTCTGCCAAGAGAAAATTCAACTTCAGATTCGGAAGAAAACTCTGCTCTCAAAGATTTAGATCAGCAAAGTGTTGGAGATACTGATAATCAGGTATTTAAAGAATTTTAAAAATATACATTTTTATCATCATAAAAACAAACTTAGCATAGCAAATTAATTATTAATTTTTGTACATAACAGGACTGTGATAAAAAATTTATCATTAGATTACTTTTCATCACCATCCAAAGTTTAATGAATTCTTATCAACAGGTGTCATCACTTGATAGTAGCATACAAAATTTATCTGAAGTGACTCAGCCAATAACTGCCAAGGCTACTGAGCGAGAAAATCGTGAGAACAATGCTAAAAATCACTCAGACTCCAGTGATGATACACAGAAAAATCTAAGTATGTCTGATTTTATAGTAATATAATGTAATTACATTAATTATTAAGTAATTATAAAAATAATTAAATCTATAAGCATGTAATGTATAATAATATTTCATGGACTTCTTAAGCAGTTTTATTTTGTGTTGCTTTGTTATAAGTGGACTTGTGTATCTCATACATGGCTAAGACATTTTATAAGGATTTTAACCCATTCTAAAACATAAAGTATACATGCTTATACCTCGGCGATTGTTGCTGGCTTTGATTAAAGCAAAATATTTATTTTTAGGGTTAAGTGAGACAGACATGACAAAAGATATTTTAAATGACAGCCTCGAAGTTGAATCTGGTATAGAAGCTCTGGAAGATACAATAGATGCATTTGGGGATGTCAGTCCAGTTGATAACCAATACCCAAGCAATAGACCTGTTGACATGATGAGCCCTCCAACACCAATATCCACTCCAGCAAATTTTGGCCTACCGCCAAGTAAAAACAACTTATCAAAAATGGCATCACAGAAAAAACCAAAGAGCAGCATATTGAATTTCACAATGTATTTTCTAACTATTTTTCTAGTAGTTAACTATTTGTTATTCCCAAATTGTAATATATGGAATGGATTTCTGTTAGGAATATGGTGTTTCTGTTTTGTAAGTAATATGAAACAGTGGGTGCTCGACACATACTTTAGTGATTGGGAGCAGAACAGCGGCAGTTTCTTTCAATTGAAGAGAAGTAATACTGTACCGTTGGCTTATACAATACCATCTGTGAAGGAACATACACCCTTGAAAAAGTATGAGGTAAGTTACTAATGTGTAATGCAAATAGATTGATTTATTAATAATAATATTAATAAATAGAACATTTTTTTTTCTCTAATTATCTTAAATTGCAATTCGTAAGATGATCTTTTGCTTTTAATAAGAAACATCTTATAATTTTAATAAAAAAAACCTTATAATGTTATTAGAAAGCTTCCTAAACCTTATAAAACGCATTATGATAGGATTAAAATAAGCTAATATGTGTAGATAATAAAATATCATACATTCTAATAACCCGTGACTCATTTAAATTGGTTCGTAGCATTTCCGTATCTATCACTACCCGTTTAGCTAATATTATTGCGTTAATAAAAAACGTGTTCGCAGGGCTGGATAAATCATTATAGAGTTCCTGATTACGACCCCTCCACCTACCATATAAATAAAACGACCACTGCCTTTATGAAACTTGAGGGTGAGTTTGCGGAGTTGATTATTTATTTGAATAAAATGTTTATTTAAGGGTTAAGATGGGCACAAGGGTTGTAATAATTTAGGAGTAGAATATGTTTTGTATTTATTTATATTAATATTAATATTTTTTAAAACGCATGGCCAGCACCAAGTCCTAACGAAACTAAATCCCGTTGTTTATTAATTGTGACAAACATGGGGCTCACTCCATGGAAGGTGAAATACGCAAGCCATATAACATCGACACAAAAATACGCTGTCGACCTATTATCGATATTTGGAAGTCACTCTAATTAAATCGTTAGTCACTTAAAGTAGTCCGTGTTAAAAAATAGGAACTCAATGGCGTAAATATAATTGTTAAGGATTTTTTTTAATTCATTTTGTACATGCATAAAACTTAATTTATTTATATCAAATAATTATAATTCACATGTGAATATTAACTGTGGAAACAAAATGTTCTAAATTGAAACGAAATCGTGTGAAAATGTACCTACCGGTTAGGCACTCGCTCAGTTGCGTGTGGAAGCGAAACGAACTACGACCCGGCCTTTCTTTTAATTAGATATTGTAATGTCATTAAGAATGAGGAAATACTTAAACTAGTTAAACAATTACCGCCGCTGTATCCCTTGTGTGGGGTATGGGGCATATAATGACAGATTTCTCTCGCAAATCAAAATTGTATGCTATGTCGAAACTACTTGGTTTCGACCACCACCCAGGCCTTATCGTGCTTCTTCCAGGAATACCGACTTACACCAATAAGTATATTAATGTATTTACATTTATTGTTTTATTTTTTTACGGAAGAACGTCCTTGTTATCTAGTTTTACTTCATCATAATCCGATAACTTACACTTCTTTCATAACATTCTGAATTATATTGTAGGTTGCAACCTAAGGATATCATATACAAGGACGAAGATAGCAAAACGAGCCCTATGGGACGAAAAAATCGACAAAGTCAACTTCTATCAGCATAGGTTGTACAACCTCACTGGAGCTAGAGTTATTTTACTGCCAAAAGGACTTGTTAAGAGAAGGTATGTTGCTACATTTACATTATTTAAACGTACGTCCTATATGAGTGTGTTTGTTCGACATTAACAATATTGAAAGATAAGAAAACTATAACACTGTCATAACTGTAATAATTTTAAAGTTACTCTTTTTTTTCAAATATATAAGTTAGTTGTTAAACATAATTTGGGTATTTCAAGTTTTCGATGGTACTACACAGTGAGAAGGTGGCAAAGCTCGTAGTGCGTATTTATTTTAAAAAGCAAGTCTTGCATTCTTATCATGAAATTGGTGTAAAATTGTGTGTTTCTTTAACTAATCTTAACATTTTTTTTATTAAACTTTGTTCGCAATAAACTTGAATGAAAGGTTGGGGCCACTCTCGCCGATCACTAAACGTTATCAATGTTGGCATGAGTCCATGGACTAAGATTAAACTCTTAACCCTGAACTTAAGCTGTAATTAAATAGGTCTAATTTTCGACAATCCCGGTTATAATAAGCGTTTTTCAACAACTTACAACAAGAGGCGAGATTAGTGGACTTAAAATACATATAAAACTGCGTCTTTACATTCAAAACTATTTTCTATAGAGACTTCTATAAAGAGGTTTCATTTCTGCTATAATGACCTCCTTTTGACTAGCTAGTCGTTGGTCTCTAATAGTACTAATTTATGACTAATAATTTACCAGTTTTTTAAATACATTTTTTTACGGGTTAACTTAGCCTGAAAAATCAGCATATTAAATAGGCAATAGGCAATATCGTAATTTCGACTTAGATACGCCCATTCGCACATGGAAAGTCCGCTGTACAATTACATTTCGGTTCTAGTCCGTAGATTATAAATTTTCAAAGGCAAAGTAAATCTATAGCGCATTTAATTTGGATATTATATGGTTGGGTTATTTTACCTTTTATTCAAGTGAACCACGTGCTTGTATGTGATCTTCTGTAAAAAAAGAACAAATTATTTAACGTTCCGATAATCCAAACTATCCCACAGGTCTAAAAAGAGTTGTAGTATCCTTTTTCTTTTCTTTGTCTAGTCTTTTTTTTAGATATTTACTAGCTCTAAAATTGTATATCTTAAATCGGACGATTCAGAATAGATTACAAAAACTGGATATAAAACCACATATTTAGTGATGGCCAAGATGTGAACTCTACATAATATTAGCGTATTATAGTAACCTTGAAAGCGGCTTCTGTGTCCTTACTATCAGTTTAGGTGAGACATTAATGTGCGGACGTTATAATGTTTTTCTAAATATGACTTAAGTCCACATTTGAAAAATTACATGAGAACAAAAACTCAATTACTATTATTGTTCCGTGCTTATTCATCATACAAAAACTAATTTATAATTATTGTCGTTTATAAATATTGGATTTGGTGATGCTAACTAGCTGTGCCAGCGACTTCGTCATCCTGGGCGTCAAAATTGCTTGTGCTAAAGTCCTGATGTTTTTAAAGTATATATATGTTTAAATAAAACACTTTAACGGTTTAAAACGCGATATATTTGTTCTTATATAAGTAAGTAAACGAATATTATTATATAAACCTATAACATAATTTTTCAATTCCCCCTACTAGTTCCTGAGATTAGCGGGTTCAAACAAATAAACTCTTATGCTTTATATATTAGTATAGAGTTTCACTTCAGTCTAAAGATAAATTTCTTTACCTGTAAAATGTTTGCCCACTACTTATTCGGAATCTATGAATTGCAATAGACTATAGAACTTAAAATGTTTCAAAGTTTGTAAATGGTAACAATGCTTAGTCGAATTTCGGTCGCTGACCTTCAGTTTCCTCACTACCAAGTTAAATATTACGAGAACAAATAATTTAGGCCAACGACCCTTCTAGTACGCAATTAGCTTAACATAGGTAAATTGTTTTACTAATTAAAAACACTTACCATCTAATAGACCCAAAATATTATATATTATATATATTCTAACATATCAGGTGTGTAACTGGCCAAGAATAAAAAAAAACTTGGAAATAGGTTTGCTCTATTATTTTTCGTTTCGATTATATAACTGTCCACTTATAAAAAAAATGAATGGATATTATCTGGACCAAAATAATAATGATCTGTGTGAAAATTATTTCATTTAATGTTGCGTAACATTAGTCACCATTTTAGTCTAGTTAAGTAAATATTGAATCACATTACAAATGACTGATCATTCGAGGGAAAAGTTTCTAACTTTGTTGCATAATGTTCTGTATGAAGCACCACTTTGCCGTAGGACACAGAGGGGACACAATCATCACTAACGCTCTCACGGGTCACTCATGCAATGGACTGAACTATTGATAATATTGTACCAATCTATACTAATATTATAAAGCTGACGAGTTACTTTGTTTGTTCGCGCTAATCTCAGGAATTACTGGTTCGAATTAACTTGCAAAAACAACTTGACGCGAATAGGTTGATTGCAAAAATATATTTCAATGTCCAAAATAATTATTCTACATATATATACTACATATAATACCTAACTTATAGGAGACACACCTTAACGTTTTATTCTCATTGTGCGAAAGTCGACAAAAAATCAAATACAATGAGACACGGTACGTTTTGAAGCACATAAATTGACATAATTCGAAGCAGTAATATTATACGAAAGTAAATTAGACATCAGCTTAAGCCATTGTCGATCTTTTGCTATCTTAGGTGGATAAGAGAATTTAGCTTTATGAAAGACGTATGTTCTTTTTTAAAAGATATATACATATGTTATATAGACCAAATTAGACATTTTTTTGTTTCTATATAACGATCATACAAAACGTTAACATACAACATTGAATTGTGTTGTATGTTGTATCCAAAATACAAGTAATTACGCATGTAATTGAGCTGTGTACCTTCTGCGTTGTTTGCCGAACAGCTAGTTGTACTTTGTATGTCCTTGCACTATTATAGTGACAGGCACAAGTAGATTTAATAACACGACTCTTAAGCTTATATTATTATTTTGTACTTCACATAGACAACTACATAATTTGCTAAATATCTTGTTTTGTACTACTAACCTATTAGAAAAAATTAAATAGTGTAACTTAACTAAATTAAACCGTTTGGAAATTAGTTGAACTATTAGGCGTTAACTCTTAAATAGAACACTTCTAACAGCTTAAAATGCGATTTGAAAGTTAGTTTAACTTTCAAAGTATAACAAAAGTTGGGTCGTATTTTAAAAATACGTTACCGTCGTTTTGCGTTTTCGTTAACGGTGTTTTATTGAAATTCCTACCTACTATCATTCAAACTATAGCATTTTTTAATATTAGGAAGAATTTTATGCGGTAATAGCAACTTTACAACTAAATAATTAAAGAACAGATAAAAATCTGAATAAAACCAGAATATTGAATATTGAGCATAAAATTAAATACAATGCCAACATTGAACTTCGCTATTTTAAGCTCCAAATATTGTCTAGACTACATATAATATTCGACCTATATTTACTTGACATTGTTACTTCGTGTCCCTTTTACTTACAACAAAATGCAGATACCAGTAAGTTAGGTATATTAACAATAGAGATTCGATCCATCAATGTTATCTAGGCTATAACAAGCCAATTAAAAAATTTACATGCCTGTCTCCAGACATTCTTACTGCCTCACGTAGATAGATCTTGTATTTTATTATGTACATTCGTGCTATTTTTAAATATTAGTTTAAGCCTTCAAATGCTTAATAAACAATACTATATACTCGCCTATAGTCAACGCCCATGCATATAATACAAAATATAGGCAATTAACAAATCTTTGAAAAATCCTAAAAAATGAACGCAACACATATACAACTATATTTACAGATTTCTTTTGTTTTCCTTTGTTGTATAAACATTTTTTTTTAATTTTTCGTCATTTGAATAGAAATTTTGGCCTCGCTGGGGATCGAACACGCGACTCACTGATTACTAGCCAGACATTGCTACGATAACACCAGCCCGTCAAATTTTACACTCAATGGCTCAGTACAAACACCTATTGACTGTAAATAATGCACGTCCTTTCTATTTAAGGCAATGGAGCAAGAAATACCCCATCTGCATAATACTCAGTGAAAAGGAAAAGATACAAGTGTTGGAGAAGGAAAACTCGGTGGAGAAGAAAATCGCTGAATTGGATAAGAAAAACAAAGACTCGCCCTTGGAGACGGAAAGCGCTGAAACAAATACCAGCCCGGAGAGGAAAAAGAAGTTCGTGTGGAGGAGACGAGAGAAGAGGTAAAGTGGGATATTAAAAAAAAATTAACTGAATATAATTGATTAATATTATAGGTAAGAAGATTAGTTGTTGTATGATATATGTTTATGCTGACATAGTTACTTAATTAAAAATACCTTATTACGCATAAGTTTTAGATAAGTATGCACTTAATCTAACGTTGTGCGAATTTAAAAAAAATATTTAAAGATGTTACGCAAGCAGGACTCGTACCCATAATGTGACATATTATGGTATTTTCTACAACTGTTACGTATTTAAATAAAACATTTCTTGTGAAAATTATGGTTAACTCGGCCCGACGTTTCGGTTGCTTTGCAGCAGCCGTGGTCACGGGGAGACACCTTTGTTAGGTGTTTTTTATATTGAAATATATCGATTTATTTATTTCAGCATATCGCATGATGTCGAACCAGGAAGAGAAGGACTGAGGCATCGTCTAGTCAGAAAGATGCATAGAGGTATGAAGTTTGTTACTAGTCACAAAAGCCCGCCTGCTCTTAGGCTCTGGTTTCAGGTACTGGTACAATAAAGCCACAAATCCACGACTGGAATCGCATTGGGTCCAACATGATTCTAATTTATTTCTGACATCTGGATTTTAAAAATGGGTTGGTGAATGGGATATAGAAACTTCATCCCATTCACTAACCACCATTACTTTGAAAATGCCGTAAAATTTAATCGCGTTTTGATTTCAGCCTGTGGATTCTCTAAACCTTAAGCCAAAATAGGTCGATATCGCATCTTGTTCATATGCTATATGGCTGGGATATTTCAACTATCATCAACGGATGTCCACACTTCTGTCTATCTTAAAAAAATACAAATATGAGGCATTTGCCATTATCTTAATATACTTTTAAATGATATTACATTATGATTACCCTTGAGACCTATTTTAAAATTAATTAAATTCAGATAAGAAGACAGACAGCGTGTCCACTATAACGGAGCCGGAAAGTCAGACGCAAGCTCAAGGTCAAAGCGATAAGAATACACAAGAGGACCTAGGATTTGATGACTTTGCAAACAAATCAGTTGGCAGCGTTAAGGAGGACGAAGATGAAATTGATGATAACGAATTGACGAAAATCAAGGAGTTTTTAGAAGAGACGGTACGTCTACAGACTCTTCCAAGATCTTATTTTAAGCTAAAATCTATTGTCAGTAACCACGGGCTCGTTGGTTTAATGTAAATTGCTAATTTATGGTTAATAATCAACGGGTCGTGGGTTCGATCCCCACCATGTCCAACATGATTCTAATTCTTCTGAAACAAGTTGGACTTTGTCTGGAAATCTGGATATTAAATGGGTGGAACATCGAAATTCTGTCACGGACCACCGTCCACAGATGGAAAAAAGTTTAGCCGCGTTTCGGTTTCAGTCTGTGGATTTCCAAATATCCAAAGCCAATATAAGTCGACAGCCCATCTTGGGTAGATGTTGGCCCATTAAGTGAACCCCGTGCTTGTCTGTCCTCTATCACAAAAAAAATAACTTGAGGTTTTAAAACAATGTTTTCAGGAGTCAGATCCGGTCGCTGATGGTCCTGCCGAAGGGGAGTGGAGTGTGCACGTCAAACAATCGAAGGATAAACATTCCCATCTATACTTATTCGCGAGGACGGGTCGAGATAAACACGAATGGTCTGTTTTGTATTAAGATATCTAATGCTTTGGTTTAACTTTTTTTTAACATGTTATTGTACATGATGGCACTAGGTGGTCCGGCCCGTATGTTTTTCTATATATAATCGATTTAATTTAAAATTATCAACAATAGCACTACATCCGTCACACACAACGATTAGTTAATTTTAAATTTTACGATAGAAGAACTCTTAATATAATTTTTATTTAATTATGCTAAATAAATTTTCCATTGTTTCCATAAAAACAGGTTGTACGGGAATATGTTTCTATACGGGTTGAATAAAGTAAATAATCTACACTTTGTAATGCACTGGAAAAGTTAATTAAATTCAGATTTTTTAATATGCCATTTAGTTACTATACAAAATGCGAAAATATAATTATATAACAATACATTTTTATCAAAAGGTACCGCCGTATCCTCACCGCGATAAGCGAAGCGTGCCCGTCAGCGGATACGTCAACGAACGAGGAAAAGTCCACGAGCGAGACGCAAGAGAGCAAGGACGGAATCGAACTGGCGGTCTACAAGCTCACCGAGAAAGATACTGTCGCATTTGGAAAGGTATATATCAATTTTGAGTCTTCAAGGTTAATGTATCATGATACAGACAAGACTATCCCACCACAGATTCAAAATAGATGTTTACACGTGATTATCTTAATATAAATTTCTATATATATTTGACAGATTTATTTTTTTCTATAGATGTTGTATATTATTAATTTTGAAACTACTTGAGCAATCAGAAATCGAATTCAGGACCATTTTAACATTAGGGTAACACGCCAGTAACATTTGGTAGCATTAAATTACCTATTTTTTTATGAAATGCTTTTAACGGTTTCAAACGCGAAATATATTATTTAACTTATTTATAATTCATTTTAACTACGATCCTGTGGCCAAAACAGCTGCAAAGCAACCGAAACGTCTAGCTATAGTAGAAAATAAATTTTTAATAGGTTAAGTAATACATTTTTACGTTTTAAACATTTAAAAGTAATATTTTAAGATATATTTTTCCCCTACAGACAAAAACAAGTGATTCTGCATCGGACATAGTCAATATAACATCACCAACACATCCGCTTCCACCAAGCTTAGATACCTATGAGAAGACCTTTTGGCCTTACATCGTTAAAATAATACAGGTAAAATACATTCTTATTATAGAAGTATACTTTTAATAGATTTTATTTGTTTTGCTACTTTATTTTAAAATCATCAAAATATTAATAGGTGGTCCTGAAAAAAAATATTTCTCTTCACACTTTATATTTAAAAATTTGACCTCAAAATGACTTTAACACATTTTCGTAAATATCGATATCTGCTCTAAATTAGTTTCGAATGTGTTCTATTTGAGTCCCACAAGTGGGTTACTTGTAGGATTAGACTGGAAAAGAACAGGACTATATTGAGCTATGAATTGGCATAAATAATTTGATTTATTCTAAAACCAGACGCACGAAGCGACATCTAAACAAACATCGGACGTCGGTGTAATGTGTCAGTTAGATCCTTCGCCCCACGAACGGAACAAAGGCAAAAAGAAGAAGAAAGACGTTAGATGCACCTTTATATTTTTATGTTCTGTGACGTTGCTTCTACAAAATACATTCAGTTGTTCAGGCTAAAATGAACTTTATTCTTTACCAACAAAGTTAATTTTACTCTGAACAAACGTTTGTGTGTTCTGTGGATTTAGGGTTGCACTTGGGTTGCTTTTTCGTAGTTCTCTCGGTTGTATTTTAATTTGAACGATATATATAAATGTTATTATAATATATAGTAAACTACTATAGCTTAGCACTACAAAATAGTTTTTATGCACACAATACTTAATTTGTGTAATTTGGGATTGTTCTGTATTCATTAACAATTTTAAGCTTAAATGTATTGTTATCTACTTTTCGAGCTGTTCGGCGATCGTGGTTGATGTTAAGCGTTGACTAAGTAAATACTGAACATCTAGAAGACCATTGAAAAATGGCCGCCAAAGCCCTGCAACATACATTGTTTATTTTGTCTCATTCTTGTAATAGAGTACATTTTAAATAAAACCTTTTTAACAGTTCAAAACGTAGTAGTATCTCCTAAAAACCATGGCTGCTGCAAGAATTCGTAATTTAGTTAAAAATAACTTAAAATTATTATTTTTTAACTTTTTTATAGTCTCAACAAACTTCTCCCGATTGTGAATGCCGGACACTTCCGGCTGAAGTAACGTGGGTCAATACGATGCTGGCGCGAATCATGTACGATATGATGCGGGATCCAATACTCATAGCGAGGCTGCAGAACAAAATCCAGAGGAAACTTAATACGCTTAAGGTATATGTTAAGTGATGACAAAAGTTGGTTTGTGATAGGTCTTAAACTTTAGAACGTATGTGTTACAAAAGAACAGGACAGACTTTCTATAGACGTTCAGTCTAATATATATTGTATATTGACCATATTAATAGCAATGTTGGCATCCAAATTTGTTTTTGCGAATCTCCTCTTCATCTTTATAAATTACAGGCGACCACGACGTCGGTGGCGTCCCCTGGTTTTTCCCACTTGATTTTAAAACGTACTTCGGACATTTTAGATCGTTTAAAGGGGAACCATTCTCCCATACATATTCTTTTAGGTATCGTTATGCTAACCTCATACTCAACGCATCAGAAACCTACAAAAATAAATAATTTTGCCATGGTTTTTCCCATATTTCCCATTTCATCGCTCCTACTAGTCACAGCGCGACGTCTTTAGCCTTTGCCTTCTGGATAAAATATATTTTTATTTGTGCCAGAGTAGCGCGTTCAAAAAACAAAGTCTTTAGCTTTATTTATTAGTAAAGATTCTATATTATCTTTTTAATAGATTCTGGACCAATCTGTGTTGTATCAATAATTTGCTTGTTATTTAAAATATTGATTTATTTCAGCTGCCATCGTTCATGTCTCCGCTATTAGTAACAGAGCTGTCCCTTTCCGGGGCCTGCCCCTTGGTGTGCGGCGTGCAAGCGCCATCTTGCGACGCGCGCGGCGTTTGGCTAGATGCGCACTTACGGTACGACGGAGGCGCTCATATAGCTATACTCACACAGATCAACCTCATGAAGCTGAAGGAGAAAAGTGAGTTAATGAAAATAAAGAAATAAAGTAGTGAGGTAAAATTTCATGTCTCGCTCAACGTTAGTTAGCCCTTGAGACAGAGTTGTCGAATAAAATAAATGATCTTCAATAAGGAGGAAGATAAAAATGCGCAATTAACTTAGTGGAATGAATTTGTATTATTATCTGTGTAGATTAACATTTTTAGACTATGAAAATATAAATATCTCAAGTCATAAAATTGCAGTTAGGCTAATGTGCGTCTAACAGCCACGTTTATAGTGTCCCTCTCCACATACATCTAATTTACTATTAAGTATTGTATTTTGTGTTTTTGTATGTGGAATAAATGATTTGATTTTATATACTATATTGGAACTTTTGACCTTGCTAAGTCAGATTTAAACATGGTTACTAACAACAATTAGTAAACAATTTACCTCACTTCAATATGCATTGCCAATGGTTTTACTTATAATCCATTAAAATTAACTGCTGGAAACGCAAAATATATTAGTTAACTTATTTTGTAACTTCCATGACCACGGCTCGATCCATTAAGTTAACAATTTTATTTTTCGTTTTAAACCGTTAAAAGTGTACTACTCGCTACTACTACGGCAATCCTTAATAACTGTATGTATTTTCTAGATATGACACTCGAAGAGCAATTACTAGAAACTCACGAAGCGATGGTTGAAAACGAAATCAGTTCTTCTCCGACCCTTCCAGCTGCTAGCACTGACTTGCGGGTAACGTACTGTTTAACATAAAGTAGGTCTTTATATAATATACTAGCTTTGTCAGCGACTTTGTTCGCGTAGAATAGTTATTATGACCATTTAAATTTGCTCATCTTTATAAATTCTAGCTGTGGTCAATGACGTCAACCGTGTCGCGTTGTTTTTGCGAGTTAACCTAAAAAAAGATAGACTGACAAGGATCACTTTTTTGATAATTTTGAATAGGAATCATTATTTCATAAAAAAAATTTTTCAACAGTATTTCACAACACACGCTATTGAGCTACCGTGTCGCTACACGTCATGGAGCGACGATTTTTTTAACTTATTGATACGTGCACCTCTCGCGCAATGTAAATTCAACCTTAATACTTGCGTTTTAATGTTCAATGTCAATTAGGCTTTGTAGTTTAAGAAAATCGTGCCTGCCCGTGTCGTATTTTTTTTTTTCATTTATAATTGACTAACTGCGTCAGTGACAACTCGTCAAAAAACTCAAGAGATGAATAATTTCCCGTTTTGTTTTCCATTAATCACAGCCCGATGTTTTATATACATATAGCCTTCCTCAATCAATGCTAACCAACGCGAAAGAATTTTTCAATTCAAACCAATAGTTTCTGAGATTAGCGCGTTCAAACAAACAAACTCTTCTTCAGCTGTAGTAGTATAGATTTTTTATTTATATAGTGCCATCATGTGCAATTCATGTGAAAAATATTAAAGTTATCCCATATCTCAGAAACGGAAGCCAGCCATCTACGACTCGGATATGGAGGATTCTGCTGAGTCATCGAGTGATGATGAAACACCGCCAGTTCAACCAGTCGATAGCGGGGAAAATATTGTCATCACTGAAAGCTCACCGTTAGTTTGGAACATATTTATTTACTTTGCTATAATAAAAAAAAGAACATTTATTACGGTTAATTTACACAAAAATAAAATACTGTCTGTAGTTTATGCGAATAGTACATATTTGAATAAAACACTGTGAACGGTTTAAAATGCGATAAATATTAGTTAAACTATGGATTTGGATAATCATTTTTGTCACGACTGCTGCAAGCATCCGTCGGGCAGTAAGTAAAATCATTTTCAAATAAATTTAAATAATAATATTTATCGCGATTTAAGTGTTTTATTTCAGTACATAAAAAAATACAGCAATTACGTAGCTAAACTTTTCCTAGTACTAATGACTAGGAAAAGCATAAGCCATTCAGCTTTTGCTAAAGCACACTGCGATGGCCGCGTGGCTTTGACTTGACAAAATATAAAAAAAAGAAAAATTACAAGACAATTGAAACATACAGAGGAACTTCACAATGAGAAGAAGGCTTAAACATCTACAGACGCATTTAACCTATTACTATATCCATGATTTTCTTTTTTTTTGGCTTACAGTATTGTCTGTAAACTTTAGAATTTATATTAGTCTATTGTCTTTTTCAGATCAGTAAATGCGGGTGAAGGTAGCTCGTCGAAGAAAAAGTTCCTGCGGATAGTGGACAAGATTGCTACAAATAAATATTTCCAGCAGGTAAGACCACTGCTATAATGGGTCGTGGGTTAGATCCCCATTGGGTCGAACTTTTTTTCAATTAATTAAGGAATTCCGAGGTCTCGAACCACAGATGCCGAAAAGGCAGTCAATTTTAATCACGTTTCGGTTTCAGTCTGAATTTTCAAATATACAAAGCCAAAATAGGGCGACAGACAACAAAAGAAACTATAAAATTATTTAATTTTTCATGTAAATAATAATTCTTTCTAACAGGTGACAGACTATAAATACGTAAAGCGGGCGATGGAAGGTTTATCAAACACGGATATAAAGTTGCAACTAGAAGTGAACGGTTTGGAGGGTAGACTCGCTGTCAACCTACCTCCACCGCCCCATGACAGGATATGGATTGGGTAAGCATTTTACTTTTTTGCTACTGCTAGAGATACTGAAATTTACTTCAAGGTAATGTTTATACACAAAAAAACAATAACAACAAAAAAAGGATTAGAGTCACTTAAAATAAACTCTAATATATTTTTTTCGAGATGTTTGTGTTTTTTTTTTGCGCTTTTAAAAAAATTTTATTTTTTTTTTCAGTTTCCGAACAAACCCTCAGTTAGTATTGAAAGCGCGACCGGCTTTCGGGGCGAGGTCTCTCCGTTTCGCGCACATATCCAATTGGATAGAACAAAAACTTACCAAGGAGTTCGAGAAAGTTCTAGTTCTACCTAATATGGAGGACTTTATCATAGATGTCATGACGCCGACACCTGTGGAATTTGAATAGGATCAGCTATACGAATGATTTGCAAGCAAAAATTTGGAACTACAGAGTTTTTATGACGAAGAGGAGAGTAAGGTCATTTGGACCATTTCGTAAGGTAACTTTCAGTGCATATTTTAAGCTACAAGTGGACGTGAACTGGCAAAAAAAATAATTGTCTAACATTTTAAAAATCGCTAATGTTTTTTTTTTAAACAAATAATCCATATGTCCATTATTAGCCTTGGATACTAAAAGGAATAGGACTTTCCATTACGTGTAATAAGAAAGTTCGTTTATGAAACGGCTTCAAACTCTTCACCAGAACGTGTTTTGTTGTGACAAATAGGAGAGAGAGTTACTTTTAAAAGAGTGATGTAGGGCCTTCCTGAAAGGATAAAAAGGCTTATGAATCGAATGCTCAGTATTGTTATGAAGATAACTATGTTCAAACAAGCTCAACAGCCAAATTCAGCTAATGGTATTCGTGTTTGTACGGTGATAACAAGTCATTTTATCTTTGTTTCGTAAAAAGTATTTATTACAAGAGGGATTCATATCTATATACAAATTACATATTTATCCATATACTATGATGTTTGCGAAGAGTGTAGAATTATTTATTTATATAAATGTACAGAAATTCGTGGAATAATTTTATTGTTGTAGATTATAGCGATGTTAAGATTTTCAATGTTTAGAACAAATTCCACTATCTTAAATTGTATCGACATTTCTCTGTAACCCGTTCGAGCTTCCCATTGAATTGTATTCGACAATAATTCCAAAATTTATATTCGAATCGAGAGTTAATTAAATAAATAAATATATATTCCCAAACTTTAAACCTTAAAAACAATTGAAGTTCAAGTTTCAGTAGAAATGCTAGTTTCATTGTATTTAGAATAGCGCCCTCTAGATTTCGCTTAGTGAATCACATACCTTATTCGTTATTACATTTTAAGCCATTTTCATCAATCTATGATATAAAAAAGCGATTGAACTGAATGTTTTTACTATTAAATAGTTCGTGTTATACATTTTTAACTAAATCATTGTCTTAAAATGTTTAAAGTATTAATAATCGCACAAGATTAATACTAAGTTCGGGCCAAATTAATGTGTATTTTTGACAGCGTTGAACTTTGAAAATACGTAAGTTATTGTGTGCGTAATTATTGAATTGAAGGCTGAATCATACTTGCTTATAGTTCACAACGAATTTATTTATGATCTTGGTGTTTATTTGCTCTACTATTAAACACCATATAATTTGCAATTAGTTTGTATTTACGTGTATTAAAAATCTTAAATTATCTTAAATCCAAGATGGCGGACATTCTAAAAACTGAGATCTACGGAGCCTGTTAAAACATTGAACTATTTTTGCCTTGTACACCTTGTATTGAAGTGTCGTTTTGTGTATTTTTATAAAAGTATTTTATTCGTATAGCATATGTAAAGCCTAATTAATGTTATTTATTGCTTTAAATTTAAGCAAGCTAATTGTAATCCACATTTAAGGGCGTCATGGTTGGCTAAAAGGAATTCAAACAAGTGACATACGCCTTGCCAAATTGATTCTCGACTTTATTGCGGCAGCCATAGAATTGAAATTCATTTACGAAGCTTTTTCACACATATTCATGATTTGTTTTGTTTCAATGTTACTATAATACCTTTTATTTTGATTATTCTTAACTTTTGTAATCTTTTGTAAAGTCAATAAGCTATTATTTTTACAATGTTATTTGTGTTTGTAATTTAGGCAAAATATTCCGATCCACTTGTACTGTTGTAATTTACATTATTTTGGAAAATAAAGGATACGTTTCGTTAGTTTATTTGAAGCTGTGATGACAGTAATGTATTTTTATAGTTTTGTGGATAAATACTGAACTTTTATGTACATAGCATTTGAAATTATAAGTGTTTATGTGATATTATGTATAGTTAAGAGTTAAACCGTGCCGAGTAGTTTTTCTATGTGGTATCAGTTGTGATTTTTTTCAATAAATAAAATGCTATATTTAATGTTTTATTTATTTTTATTGCCATCCTTTCATAAGTCTTACAAGTCTAGGCTAATTGGGTCGAAGCTTTATACGTTTTTATGCGGCCCCGGGAATCAAACCCAAGACCTCTAAACGGAAACAGTAGTCAACAGTGAGTCAAGGGACGGTTTTAAAATTTGTAGTATACCTAATTTACGAATAATGCATAGAGTAAATAAAACCAAAACAATCCTTTCATATTTTATTTAACAGTTCATACTATTATATTATGTACTATGTACAACATCGTATTTACAATAGGCATCTGAATATTTCCATATCTCTATATCACATGAAATATATAACTAAACAATCTTATTTAACATTTACAAATATATTATTCGCAGCTTACAACGTGAATTATATTAGTATACAATTTTATATATTTGTCATAAGTTGGTGGAAGCACAAAAGTTGGAAAATTGCTTAGGACCTAGCGTACTAACTCTCAAAATATATACTGAATTTAGCAAAACTATAGCTATGTTTTCTGGAATAGGATAAAAAATACATTTATAACATGATAACGATGGGATAGCGATTTATATAAACTAAGAAATGAAACTATTTATACAACATATATACAATCTGAGATCGACGCTTAAAATTAAATATAAAATCTTACATTTGGCACTGTGGACCGCAAAGAGTTACTTTAGTATTACTATTTACAATATTGCATATAAATCTAGTTGTATGGCAAGCAAGTACAGACATCTGCAACTCGGAAATATGTTTATGGCTAAGCGCTTACTAACTACAACACAATTGCTTGTTTCAATTTCACAAAAGGAACCTGTAGACCACTTATTATTCGCGAATATTAATATAAATGGAATAATGCTGTGTGCTACTGTTGCTAAAGGTTTTTCAGACGATACCGTGTTACCGTGTGTGGTCTACAGTGTTCCCTCTTTGCAGTTCTCTCCAAACGTTTTGGGCGAGCTAAAGTTAGCGCGACCGCCATCTTGCGCATGGTACTGTCAATTTTAAGCACAAAGTCGAGTCGCCTGCACCCGCGTTTGTCGCAACTGATACTAGCTTTTTGCGTTCTGCGCAACTATCCGTGCTAACTTCAGCCCGGCCAAAAAGTTTGGAGAGCACCGTACCTGTTACATTCTCCAGACACAGATCTTAATCCTCAATGCTGTAAATGACAATGCGCTGTGCCCTCGTTGTTACGTCTATTCGCTAATTCGATCCATTCGTGCGCCCTGGGAGCGCATACAAGGTGATATCTGCCGAGAGCTCGTCTCGCCATAACAAGGAACTCGCCCGCGCCCGCACCAGCGCCGCATCTAGCGGCTACTTGGACATGCGCGTGTAAAGTGCGTGTGCGACGCGGATGTTTGCGATGACTGCGCGGTGGATCTATCGCGTTGTCTGTATCGTATCTGTGGAACATCATGTTTAATTTAAACCTTGACTCACAATTATATAATTACACACAAGGTAGTTAAATTTAAATTAAAGATTTTAACAGTTTAAATCGCCATATATATCAGTTAAACTTATTTGAAAATTATTTTTACGACGACCCAACGTTCGGATGCTTTGCAGCAGTTTTGCTCGCGGGGAGAATTTATAACAGTTAAAGTGTTTTATTCCAAAGTGTATTAACCGCGTAAACTAAAGACAGTATTTAAAAGCTAGTTAAAGTTACTCTCCCCGTCACCACAGCTTATGAAAAACATCCGAAACGTTGGACCGTAGTTATAATATTTTTTAAATAAGTTTAATATATTTCGCGTTTTAAACCCTTAAAGTGTTTTATTACAAAGACGGACTATATACTAAATTTGGCTATCATAATATGCGTTATAGTGAACATACCCTTGAAAATGTTTTGTGTTTGGTAATGGTTTTACATCTTTTAGAAAATTCTTTAAAATGTTATAATAGCTCTTTTCGAAGATACTTTAAAACTGACACCAACACACTGGACACGGTAGCTCAGTTAATTAAAGCAGTAGAAGTAAATCCCGATTCAATCTCAATAGATTTTTAATGTATATAAGTATCCACTACAGTTTTCATTCCTTATTTTAAACTACGAGTAAATAAAGATAATCACCTAAAATATTCATCATCATTCTCCTCAGACTCCGCTGTAGCAGAACTTGCTCGGATCAGCTTAGTCAGGCGCAGAGTAAGTTGGGTCGTATCCAAATCTTCGCGTTGCTCACTCCCCACTATAACTCCGCGCGACACTGCGAAAGAAACATAAACATTAGAGTACAACTTCTATAATATTATAATTACAAATGAGTATCGATTCTCGTTAGACACGTTGAGTTTTTGTAGACATTCTTCTTAATTATAGGTACGGTGCCATCTTAAGAATTCAGCTCGAATAAAAACCGTACAATATAGACTCGGGTAATTATAACCTGTGTACGCTTTCTCTACTACACGTAGTGTATTGTACTGTTAAAATTAATGGCCGTTAGAAAGCCTTTGGTAAATATTGCATCTAATACCTTTCTTGTATTTATTGAAATTGTGAATGTATTTCTATAAATATGCATGTTACCGACAGGCAACTAAGAAAATAGACTAGGCGTTTACAATTTGAATATTTAAGGATCAAAATAGGTCTATGTATGATAGCACATCGTATTGAAATACAGTACAGCTAGAGTATTTCATCATGCTACCTAGCATTGCGTTAAGCGCGACGTCCTGAGTTCGTTTCCCGGGAAAACAATAGATTATTTTGGTCAGGCATCAACTGTCGTGTAAATAAAACCGACCAATGAAATGGACAAAGAAATGTGTTCGCCACTTACACCACGCGGGGAATTTCACTTTTTTACAACGAAAACATCGAATTGGAATATCTGTTTTTATATGAACGTTATATTGCACCGATTTTGACGTAATTATCACTGAAGTAAATGGAGTTACTTAGGCTATATGAGGCTGCTAAAGCCAGAGTAGCCTAACAACAATTTTATGACTTGACTTAGTTATATTTCAATAGTCTAAAAATGTAAATCTGCAAGAGCGCGGTGACAAAAAATTGTTTACATAATTATATAGTAGTAGTAGAATAGTACAAATCAATCCTCGCAAATTTTTATTTTCCTTATTAAAAATCATATTTTCAGTTATTAGGCTACTCTGCCTCTAGCAGCCTCATATATAAATGGGTGCCGTAGCACCAGAATTAAAACGGCACCTAGCCCTAAGTTTATAAAGATCCACGCCACGGTTCACCAATCTCGAAACATTGTCACACCATGACGTCACCCGGATTCCAGACTCACAAAAAAGCACTTAATATCGCCATTGTTGTAAATATTTTTTGTCTAATGAATAAGCACATTGTAGAACAATTCGCGCTTAGTTCAAACGTAGATAAGTGAATTGTGTTAAGCCGGAGGCGCCCGGAGCTCGTAATTACGGAGGCTTTTAACTAACGAGCTATCTGGTTATCGTTTTTAATCTCGACAGCTTTTGCATCAATTTAAAACGTCTTAAACGCCTACCGGTGTCGTAACGTGAGTTGTATCGAAATTAATAGTACATTTGAAACCAAGCCATTGTGTCTTTAACTGCAAATCTATTTCGTTTTTAAATGATCTTAGCCTCTTAAACAAAGCTAAATTAGACTACTACAAAATGGATTTTTTTTACTGTTTTGACGTTCATAAGTGTACTAAACTGGATAAATGATTTTTGATTTTATTACAATAAATAATTTTGAAGTTTAATCGCGTTTCGATTACAATCGAATTCGATTTGCGATTATCCAAAGCCAATATAAGTCGACATCGCATCTTGTTAAGATATTATACGGCTCTTCTCTCTTGATGGTCTAATCTCTTGATGGTAGGTTATCATCAAGAGATCCCTATGTTTGTGTGTAGTTGCGTAATTAATTAAATGATAATTGTCAATTAAAGAATCGAGTTTATAATTAGGAAAAAATAAATTACTTTAAGCAACCACGATTCAATAGTTATTTAATATTTTTTATGTACATTTTTAATTCATAAGTATTGAAATCTGGTAATAAATGCTCCTAACTCTAAAAAATCTTCGGTCGTAAGATGTCGTGCTGTTTGTTCAGTAATTATTATGTAGCATGACACACAAGTTTCGGTGAATCGCAGACGCAGCTAATAACAGTCGCCCACCTCGCTGCGGGCGGACAGCACTATTATAATCTATCAGATCATCACAAAAAAACTTTATAAGCCCACTCCCTACTGCGCGCGTGCCTGCACTGGTAATACTTGAGGAAAACCTGTTTCAATACCCCATATAAGATTCAAAACTAAGTATTATAAAGATAAATGAAAATTCTTAGACAAAACTTGAAATATTTTCAAAATCACGGTCTGTATTACGTTAGTTGTATTGTTGTCTTTATATCCCAAGCTCAAATAGGTCGATAGCGGATCTTGTATAGACGTTATGTGGCGGTGGTATTTCCATAATTCACCATAAAAATATACCCCATATCCCACACGGGGAAAACGGGATCTCATTACAACAAATTTTTAAGCGGTACTACAAAGCTACGCGAGATTCCTTAAGCGACAGCATAAAGAACGCATTCTCGGCAAATAAGTGTTCAGTTATTATAATTTTAGCGAGGTTAAAATTAAATATCTCAGTAATCTCGGTTATGGCAACAAATTTCAAAGAGTGGAGCGCTAAGGACCGTTCATTGCGGGGCTATTACGTTCCAGGCCGGCTACTGGTTTTCAGTACTCATACGCAGTTAGTGCGGTAACTTTTAGAACTAAAGGAAGATGAAGCAAGAACATATTATAAGAGACAACAGTCAACTATTAATAAAATGAAGGGTTAGTTTAGTGTATTGCTAATGATATAGTACTTATTTCTTTGGTGGGTACTTTATTTACTCCTTGATTCAATTACATTACTGGATGTACTATGGATTCGGGTATTCTCCTTCTAGGACTGGTCCTAGAACGAGGTACAGTGGCCTTACCGTCATGTTTGTCGACCTTTTTCATAAAAAAAATGTCATGGCTTCTTAGGTACAATAGATTTTTAAAATAACATCATATTTTTTGTTTTATCTTTAATCGTAGGAAACACCAAGAGTGTGTACCACCACCACAATGTGTTTTGTGTGTATTTCGGTGTGTTTGAGACCACATCACACTTATTTTATTATATATATTGTTCTATAGTAATATATGTATTTTAATTTCTGGTATATTATATAAGATATTAAAACTCACCAAGATCACTAGTACAGAATGCCAATTCCAATTCTGACTCCGAGCATGGTCTGCATTCGGCTGTGGCTGGGTCATAGTGTCTTCTCACCAAGGACCTCGCCTCATACTTGAAAGACGCTACTCTCTTCTTTGTCCCATCTTCTGGTTCCGCTTCGACGTACAAAGCAGCGCGACCACGTTTGCTTCGGAAGCAGCGAAGCTCCCGCGGATCTCCGTCATCGGGGGCGTAGAGGGGGATTAACTTCCTCACCCCCTCTACGAAAATACGAGCTGGAAAGCGTTCTGTGGCTTCTGTGAGATATAAGAAAAGAATAGTACTTAATAATGAGGTTTCAAAAAAATGCTGCGTTTAAAAAAAGCTAAAAATCGCTAAAGAATCATTTCTTTGAATCAATATGTCCCTAGATTACGAAAAATTTAAAGTTATTGCAAAGTGTTCTGTGGTATAGAATACAAATTATAATAAAAAGTGGACGTGAGTGAAGTATTTACATATACACAATACGTACATACTTCAATTAAGAAGTTTGTTTTTATATTTTTCAATCCCGAAACAGTAGTGGAATCAGATATATTTTTATATTCGTTTTATTGTTATAATACCTGTATCATTAAGCTGTAGCGAGTGAAACAAGTCGGGTGGATCAGGCCGACGTATAACCCTGATGCAGACCCTAAAATCCCTCTCATCAGCTGGCAGGGGGGGTTTGAAGAGTAGTCGTAACGCCCCCCGGGGATACTGCCACAGCACTGACCCCTCCCTGCACCTCAGGTAGACCGGTGTCACCCCTCTCTCAGCAGTCACGCTCAAACCGCTGAAACAAAAAAGACATTAACGTCACATTCATTTTCATAACCATTAACTTTTTGTGTGTCGCTTAAACGCAATAAAATAAATTAACGTTTGAAACATTACTTTATTTAAACGTATAATCAATCATACGTGTATGTACCGGACGTTTCATTAATAATATACCGAATATTGTCTTCAATTAATTAATAGTTAAACTTAATTACATTATAAGACATGTTCTAGTTTATTTGGCATCTTGGATGGCAATCATTATTAGTAAATTTATTTAAACTCCAAAAACAAACATTGTTTAGAGAAACCAATCACGTAGGGTAAGAGTATGTAATTTGAAGTTTAAATAAAAATTCTGGCAATGTTTTTGCTTGTTGTAGTATTTTTTGACATTTTTAAATTTTACGAAGAAATTACTCTAAGATTGTTTATTCGTGATTAAAAAAACAAGATATTTAAGCAAGATATACATTTAATTATTGAATGTAAAACAGTAATTACATAAAAAGCACAATATTAAACGAGCAAAATGTCTGCTAAAATCGTGTCTTATATGAAATTATCTTTATCTAGATGGAGAGTGTGCAGTCGGGCAGTGATTGCGGCACGCGAGTGTCATTTCTGGTCAGTCCACCATAAACCAGCCCCGAGCCAATTGTGGTCGTATCTTGCATCTGCGGCACGTGGGCTGGATTTCTGGAGTAGCGCCCACGCCCAGCCCACGACACAAACTTTATAAACGAGATATATGACCGGGGACCGCTATAAAAGACGTCGGATTGTGCTGTGCGACGGCAATAAAAAGGTTTATGTAAAACTCATTGTCCATGTGGCACGAGATTGACGAGCCTTTGTTAGACTATGGCCTTATAGACTCCGTAGGCCGTGTCAAAATTACATCCTCCGTCCCGAACCGATCAGTATAACTTATAATTTTATATTCATTAATAATAAATAAAAAACTAATTGGTGTTTGCTGTATAATTCGTATTTATTATTTATTTTAATTTTTTTATTATAAACGATTAAAACGGCAATAGGCAGTTACATCATTTTCAAAAACAGGCAATTCTTTCAATTTGTTATAGATTTGTCGGACTTCCGTCAAGTATTTATTAAGTAAGTAAAGGTTCAGGTCTATTTGTTGAAGGTTATAAAAATGTATTTGTTTTGTATGTGACTGTTACGTAGCCAAATAAAATAAATGAATAAATAATGAAATAGCTACCGCGCTGTTAGTCGCTTAGGTAGGTAGCTTCTACATGTCATAGTAAGTGTGCGAGGGAGACAACAATAGTAAACTAGTTACCAAACGCCTGTATAGAACTCACAGCGTTTATAGGAGACCAAAGCCTTATTGAAAGTCCCTTGTCCGCTCCAAAACGTCGTGCTACGATTTAATCTGCATTGTGAGCGGTTTATTGCCTTCAAAAGTGTAGGACTGAGGAGATTGCCTTTCAATCATTTTAAGAGGTCGTTGATGAATTCAATATTTCAATGTCGGCTTTCTTCGTGAATTACTTTGTTAATAACTCGGATGGATTTTTCAGTTACATTTCTGTTTTAAATGGAAATAAATGTGTTTGTGTGATCAATAACAAGTACGTACGTTAGTACTAATAAAGTGAATGGTCCGTACCCCTAAGTGCTTTAGACCACCTTTTGGGTACTAAATTTTTTACAATTAATTTTGTTCATCTCATGTTATACATAGACCTATATATAGCTATAAAGACTAAATATAGGTACAGTGTTTGTGAAAAGTTTGATTATAGATTACAACGTACGTTACATAGAAACACAAAGGGTTGAGTACAGTCGTGTACAAAAAGAACAAATATGTTTTTTTCATGTCAAATCCTTGATGTATCTGACTCTCAAAATGTAAAGTTATTTTTAAAAGCAAGTCACATCCTTAATTTCTTCACGTCATCGCGGGGCTTCCTTAATCCACCCTAATGGGCTCATATACAGGCTAATACAAAAACCGGTCGAAGTGAAGTGCGTATCTGCTTAATAGCCACGGGTTCCGTATCTTGCTTCTTGGTAAGGCTAAGACAGGTTTGTTTAAAGGAGTTTACTTTCAGATGTTTCTCCCATTGTTAATCTGTACATACGAAGGACAACATTCAAAAAGTTTTTTTTTTTATTTTATTTAATTAAACGCGTTTCGAATAAGCAGCAGTCGTGTCCCCCGTGACCACAAAAAGACGGGCCGTAGTTAAAATAAATTTTAAGTAAATTAAGCAATACGGTACGTGTTTTAAACAGTTAACTGTGTAACTCGTGTAAACATCAGACAATAATTCAGATTTCGTTCTTAAAGGCTCATATTAACCAAATGTTTATTTTTTTATTATGGTAAGAATTGATGAAAGACATTTCATATGGTTAAAATAATATTCTGTCTGAATAGGATAGTCAAGTGGCTTTGGGCAGGTTGCACACGTGGCAGGTCTTAACAGGGGTTAGTAACCCTCCGAGGTTAGAAATTAAATCTTTATTTGTATCTGTGGTATTTTCTACAAGTCTTTGAAACTTAGAATCTAAACATTATTCCGAAATCGATTACCTATGGGTAGATCATAAATATGTCGGATGACAACGGCGCAATTCAAAGCATATGAAACTGACAGACCGAAGTTTAAATAATACACTTTTTAAATAGTTAAACTAGTATATCTGGCGGGGGGGTGAGGGGGAGACTAAAGATGGAGGATGCCACGGCGTTTGCAAAGCATGTTAAAATGTTTTATTTAAATGTGTACTACTCGCGTGAACTATAGACAGTATTTAAAAAAATATATTTTTTGTACTTAGCATAAGTCCGGTGGGGATCGAACCCGTCGAATTTATTTCTCTTATCATGTTTAAGCTTGTTTGCCGCTTTTTTGCGATACAAAACTTTTCCGTATAAAAAAATTGTCTCGGGTCGGTCGTCTGTTTGTCGCGCCTAGCGTTATCGGCGCGCGCTAAAATAAACATCGTAAAAACAATGCCACGTTAAAACCACATTGACTTTTTCTACACTTTTATCATAAAAAATATAAGGGGTGTTAGCTGGCATGGGTCGTTCCGCGACAAACACAGTTCTCGACATCGTTTTTGTACACATTCGTTGAATGTTGTAATACAAACATAAAAATATATTCATTAAAAATACCGTTTGTAGTTTACAAACAATTTAAATAAAACCGTTAAAAAAATCAGTTAAACTTATTTTAAAATTAATCAATTAAGTTCTACTAATATATTTCGCGTTTTAACCCGTTTTAATTAGTTTATTTCGTAATAATAAATGTGACTTATGCTATTAATAAAAATATATTTATATATAATACATGTCAAGAATAAGACTTGGTAGTAAATATGTTTTAAGACATCTTTGACCAAAAAGGATTATAAAATCTGAACCGGTTTCGAGGTCATTGGACAACAATAGTAAAGCTGGCTGGCAACAAAAAGCAATAATATTAAAAGATTATTTGACAAACGTTAAAAAATGGAAGATTTGTGGTCATTACGCGAGAATGGCTGACGCGATATGGGGCTAAAAGCTACTAATGTAAGCGCGTTAATGTACTATAGACCTCTCAATAAAATAAACCGTAAAAGTGCTCTAAAAGTATTTTATTGGCTCTGTATTTTAATACACTGTGCTGTTTGAAAAAAGTAATAAATTATAACGAATTCCTAAGAGATAAGCTTCTTTGAATTCTTGAAGTACTTCGATGTGTTAAGTGTATAATGTAAGATATCGTTAAGACCATTTTTGGCTTAATTTTTGACACTTCCATCTTGCATAGAAGTGTGATATATGTCGTATATGACGCGATATCATATTGAGGTAATTCAGAAAACCTTTTGATAAAATGCCTATTGTTTTTCGTTAGTTAACGTCCTAGTGTAATAAATTCACGTTGATAGTTAATTTTTCTAATGTAAAGAATATAACCAGTCTCATTATGCAGATTGGGGTCAAGCGATTGTAAACTAACCACAATCAAAATATCCTTTTGTATTTAAGATATTTGCATACTGAATCGATAAATTTGTTCTATCATTAAATACAGACGTCAGTTCCTGGTCGTTTAAAGCGGTTATTCCTTTTGAAAATAACAGAATCAAAATTAAACATTGTAGTTTACGCGAGTGGTACACATTTAAATAAAACACTGTAACAGTTTAAAACGGGAAATAAATTAGTTACAGGAATCCTGTAACCACGGCACTGCTGCAAAGCATCCTACGTCGGACCGTAGTTAAAAATAATGTATAAATAAGTTAAACTGATATATTTCGCGTTTTAAACCCGTGTTTTATTTAGAATCAAAATCTTTCTTGTAGAGTTTAGTTAGTCACAAAATTATAACCAGTTTTGTTTTCATAATGACTGTAAAGAAAAGTAATGTTTATTTTCATTGCTTTTAATGCCATTATAACTCCAACATATAGATATGAAGCAATAAATGTATTTTGTCGCCATACAATACAAAACAAGTGTATATTTAGATGATATCGCATTGTGTTCGTATGTAGAAAGTTCGTTATAGCCGTCTCATAAAGCCTTATCATATAACAAGAGAATAAAAAAATAAATGTGTATCTTTTCTACGAAGAGTTTTATTTATTCCTGTCCAAAACCTGGCGCGAGATAACAATGCTGAGTGCATTCAACCGTGTATCTTAACAGGGTTGGCTGTAGACAATATCTAGACTAGATTACATAAAATTAGATCTAGACTTTATTCTTACAGACTGGGGGCTATTAACAGTCTTTGAATGGGAAATACATCAGTATTCTGCTTAGAAAAGAAGCTAAGTTAGGCTTTGCTCTACAATATATGAGGCTGCTAGAGGCAGAGTGGCCTAATAACAAAATACACGATTTTCAATAAGGAGGAAAGTAAAAAAGGCCCAATTAACTTAGGCGGAAAATGAATTTATACTATGATTTGTAAGATAATAAAAAAAGATAAGATGTAATATATTATGTAAATATAAATAACT